TCATTGTTCCTGTTTAAATGTAACAAAAATACATCTAATTAACGGAACGACCATGGGTGGGCAAAAAAGCAATGGGAGTGGGAATGACTTTTGACTTCCTGCCATCTTCCCCATTGACTTTGCTTGCAAAAAGCTGGCAGGCAGCATTGGAAATGATAATCATGCGACTATGGCTGATTATGGCAGCACCGAAACAGCCACAATTTCCCCAAATTTCAATTCTATGGGTATCATGGGTCCTGGATTTTGGATGCATTCTATAAGTTAGCTCATTTTAAGGTACACTGATTCAAAAATTGTTGACTGAGGATGCACCCTTTCACCCAAATGAAGGTTATAAACAATCAGATAAGAGGTTTTTAGTACGGGTAGTATATAAATGTTGATTACTTTACATGAGCAACCGAAGTGTCTGAAGGCTTGTAATACCACAAGAGTCACTTTTTTCTTTGGTGGATTAATATTGTTAGAGCAAGTTTGGTAGTTGAGGATTTTTTTTTATAACTACATTTCCTAATTTGTGGCACTCCTTTTTTTTCTTAGTAAATGATTCATTCATATTCATATTGCAGAAATGAAACGATTTCCTTTTTTGTCCTCTTCATAATATTAGGGATAAATCTGTGGTGGTATTCCACCGGTTCTGCCTGGTTCTGCCGAGCTGGTAGTGGTGATGAGCAGCGGAGACGGAACCGGTTCTCTCCACCGCTCTGCTGTTGGGCCCACCCACCCACCTGGGCTCCCATACTCATCTTTATTCCCTGCTTTTGAAGCACAGCTGCTTTGCGCGGCACAGCAGAGTGCTGCACGTCAGCTGCTGAAGCAGCAGGGAAAGTGCAGGCTTGCAGGAGGTGAGTTGGAACACCTCTGCGCCTGCACAAATGCCTCTGTGCCTGCACAAAGTGCACATTTGGCACGTGTGCATATGCAAAGTACGTACACGTGCACAAAGTGCGCCCACCAAGCCATGGCCACCGAACCGGTGGTAAAAATCTTTGAATCCCATCACTGGGATAAATACATTTCTGTTTTTAGATGGCCAGTTGTTGAAGTGTTGAACTAATGGCATCAAATAATATTAAAATAGAATACTACATAACATTCATTATATTCATCAATAAATAATTATCGGATATGAAAGAAAAGCAACAAAAACAGCATTAACAAAATCCATAAAGAGTTTATACAAATAAAATAACACCAGATTTTAGCAAATTAATTTATCTAATACTTCTAAGCAGAAGCACTAAGAAAATCTGTACTGCAGCGTTGTAAATATATCTGAATCAGAGGTGGTATTCAGCAAGTTCTGACCAGTTCTGGAGAACTGGTAGCGGAAATTTTGAGTAGTTTGGAGAACTGGCAAATACCACCTCTGACTGGCCCCGCCTCCATCTATTCTCTGCCTCCCGAGTCCCAGCTGATTGGCTGGGTCTTCTTTTGTTGCCCTGCACAGGAGAATGGAGCTGGAAAGCAGATTAGTAGGGAGGGAATGGAGATTTTACAATACCTTTCCCATGCCATGCCCACAGAACCGGTAGTAATTTTGTTTGAATCCCACCACTGATCTGAATGTTTTGGGGGCACAAATGGATTGAAGCTTATTTCTCTGTAGTATTAGACATAGAATGATAGACATAAAACACTTTTATTTAAAACAGACCTTACAGTAGGTGTGTCCAACCCATGGCTCTAGTAAAGTGGGCCCACAAGATAATTAAAAAATAAAGGAAGTTTTTTATTTGTATACATTAAATATATATTTTGCATGCAGCTCAAGATAATTTGTCTTCACTCAATGCAGCCAAGCAAGGCTAAAGGCTGGAAAACCATTTGTTACTCAGGGACACAGAAAAAATGGAATAAGTTTCCTACACAAGTAATGGAGAAACATTATAATTCCTATATCCATCATATTTATATAATGTCTGAGTGATACTTTGGACATGTGAAAGTTATTGCATAAATACAATATAAACACTGAATTGATGTTTGCTTCTGTATATTTTGCAGTGTAATAAATAGGTATTTGAATAAACAGGATTTGATATCATTAAGAGTATTGCTAATCTATATCGTTTCACATTTTATTCGTTATAATCCTATTCATGTGGGCAACAAGCTGAGGAAATCTTCCTATAACAAAATATATCATACTGTTACCCAATGCCTTCTCTTTTTTAAAAAACACTTTTTAGGGCCAATGCTTTAACAACAACAACAACAAAAAAGACGGAGGAAAACAAAGTGCTTTTTACATAGCTGATTTTCCCTGCAAAATGCCACCCCTCGACTTTCCCGGCCCTCTCTTATTTGGGATTCAGTTATTTTGCAGAAGGGATATGTAATGTGCGAACGTTTTGGAAAGAAGGAAGTGGCTAAGAAGGGAAAAGCCACTCAATTCCGCTTTCCTTTGATGCAGAACACTTTCAGTTACCACATGTGACTGTAGTGTTTCATAGACTTTGGCCTTTGGGGGAATCATCTGTCTTGTATCCACTGTAACAAGTTCTGATTTTATCTAAAATCAGATATTTATTATTGCGCAATAGTTTGGTTTAATGTATAATTCAAGATTGACTCTATTCAATAGTCGTTGCTATAGCAAGGAAAAATTTATTATATATTTATCTGTGGTGGGGACCATTTGATCAATTTGTACCATATATTTCTGCACGCTTATAAGCAGCATAGTGTAGGTGTTTAGGGAAGATTATAACACAAACTTGGAAAGCTTGCATGGAAACTGTGGTGGAATAATCCATATACAGGTAGCCTTCGAGTTATGACCACAATTGAGCACAAAATTTATGTTCTTAAGTGAAACATTTGTTAAGTGAGTTTCCCCCATTTTGCCACAGTAATTAAGTGAATCATTGCATTTGATAAGTTAGGAACCTGGTTGTTAGCTGTCTATTTGGTGTTGCAACAGACTATGACATTTGTTCAAATGTATTCCACATGATACTCTAGCTAGATGAATAAGTCTTTGAAGTTTAAAAAGTGTTTGTGGTGAACAATGTAGGTTTCAGTTAAATGATAGGAAAGAATGTTATTCAGTCTTTTTTAGGATTATGTCTTGATTCTCTGCAACAAATAAGTACTTGTTTTATACATAATTTCCTGGAGGTGGCAATTTTCATTTTGATTTAAGATAATCAAAAAAAATCACAATGTGTTAAAAGGCAGGTTTCTTTTTAGTTAGTAAAATCTGATATTCCTGTTTCTATTATTGGGGTGTTTATGAGAGTTAGGACTACTGTGCCACAACTCCTTTTTAGATTGGATTTTTATGTTTGTGTAGTTTCAACCATCCATCATTAAGGCATACACAAGATCCTCTTTTGTGTGTGCATAATTTTTACACACAGCTGTTGTATTAAGTCTACACCTGTGCCATTTGAAAGTTTGTTTAGTTTCAAATGTTTTGTAAATGGGAAATGAACTGCTTCTTTGTACTGAAAATCTTCCAGCTATGCTAGTTTTGATTCTTTTTTTTAAAATGGGGGGGGGGGATGAGGAAGCATTCATGCCTTATTTCTGATTATTATCAATTTGATTCTGCTGAATTTCTTTTATTGTGAACTGCAAATCTGGCCCATTTTTTCCCCAAATTTGGTTTGGCAGAAAATGTTTGCACAAATTGCTGCCTGTAGTTTTGTATACCCTCTTTTCCAGTGCATTTGTTTTCATGCATCAACTATGCTTCACAAATATATTTTTTTAAAATTGGACAATATATTTTTGTGTTGTGGCTCCGGGCTTGGATTCAGCTCCTGTGGCTGATATGAGTTCAAGTGAGGAGGACGTGGCAGAAAAATATGAGCCGGCAGAGCTCAGTGATGGGAATAGTAACCAGGATGAGGAGATGGATGTGACAAAGGAAGACAGACCTGATGTATTAGAATTGTCAGGACCTTTGACCTCCTCTGGTTCCTTATCTGATCAACAGCCGGGAATGGCTGACAGGGAAGTTTTGAGAGAGTCTTCTAGTGGAGATGAGAATTTGGAAAACTTGTGGTTAAATGTAAGGAACAGAAGACGATTAAGGAGGCAAACTCAGTTAGAACGAAGGAGGAGGGCGAGTCAATAATTAAGGAAATTAGCACGTTGCCTCAATGAGTATAAAAGGACACAGCTGGCCTGGAAAAATTTGCCAGGAACAAAGTGACTTATTGCGTGAAGACGATACAGCAAAAGCTCTGAGGCTTGAGATTTTTTGCCAGGACTGGTTTGCCGAACAGAGCAAAGATTGTTACTGTGGATTGTAATTTATGACAGCCGTTATCTTGTGAGACTTCTTTCTGTTTGATTTACTTTTGAAACGGCTGCTTTCTGTTTTGCTCGCTTGAATTTTGAAGGGGAGTCATAACATTTTTGTATGTACTTCCCCTTGGCTATGCTCTTCTAGGTGTAAATTGAGACGAGAATCTTGCAAATCACTGAACCAAATTGCAAAAGATTTCTCAAAATGCTGAGGGACCTGGTTTCTCACCTTTCCTTGCAACTAACCTCCAAATTTTGAGAAATAAAAGTGGCAAAATTGGATGCTAATACAGTATGCAGCTGAAATGGATTATATGCCTAAGTTGCAGTGGCAATTTTATATTCTATTATTTATCCAGCATATTTTTAATTAGTACATATGCCATAACCATCATGTTCAGCAAGGTTTCAACTTCCTCCCAAAGCAATGGCTATGAAAATTCCTGGCACAATAGTTGTTCAGGGAAGCTGCTGCTATGTCTTTCGGAAGTATCATTTTGGGAACCATAGAGGTTCTGACCTGTAATAATATTTGAAAATCCTTTTCTCTAGCAGAATATCTTGGCCTAAAGAGAATTTTTTCCCCATTAAAATTCATTAATTTGATCAAATATTTATTGATGCATGAGGATACTTTTAAATAATAACAGTGAGGTATTGAATGACATGTTTTGATCTGACCATTCTGCAAATAGCTAAACAATGACCAAACAGTCTCTTTGCTTGTATTTCAGATTTCATATAAAAGCATCAGAAAGATTGGCAGCCAGATTGACGTCATATCTGTGGAAAATGAATTAAAGCAACATGACCAAGGCTTATTTCTCATTCTGCAATTATACTGAGCAAGTGCTGAATTGGCTGTAGTAACTCTGTGATATTCAGCTTTTCGTTGACAAACCAGAAAGGTAATCTTTTAATTTATTATCATAGCTTAGGCATAGCTTAGGGATAAAGCACCTTTCTACCGAGCACCTGTAATATCCGTGTTGAACTGGTTTTGATTCAGAGTAGGATTCCAACCCAGTGTTGCAAATGTCCAAAAAAAAAAAAAAAAGGCTTTACCCTTCCATTGCTAGCAGAAATAAGGTCTTGTAGATTGTATGGCTTTGTTTTTTTCCCTTTGAAAACTTACTTATTACAGCATTTGGTTATGCTTCTGTATTTTTTTAAGTGCAGAATATGGCACAGTTTTAATAGAATTTATTACAACATGATATTTTAGAGTACTAAAAGCCTTGGAAAATGAAAGATCATGCTGTCAAAACTCTGTGGTGGTACTGTTTACTGCAGCAGTTTTCAAAGAAAGACCGAAGATTCCTGGAAGATTATCAAAAGTTTCTAAATGAAAAAAATCCATTACATCCAATCAATTTTCCTGAAGGGTTTGCAGTAATTATGAGTAGTGAGCCAGCATAGGAGATTATGCCTTTTAGTGATCATTTCAAGTATTCAAGAAGTCAAGGTGAAACCCAACATGCTTAGTTAAAGTTACATGTAAGTTGAAGACATGAAAGATCTCTATGTCTTTCTACTATCATGTGATAAGATTAGCAGAGTTTATAGTTGCTGAAGAAAGTATGTATTTCAGAGCAAAGTTTGAAAATCCATTGCTTCCTATTTTAAAATATCTACTTTGTTAGCTTTCTACAGCCTTTCCTGTTTGTTTTGTTCCTCTTGTGGTCAAAATGAAACAGATGTTAAAAATTGATGCTGCCTGAAAGGTTCAGGAAATAAACTGAAGAAAAGAGTAGCATATTTTAAATCAGGCTTGGACCTAGGATCTGATTGATTTATTTTTCTATGTGAAGGGCTTTAGCACCAGGATGAAAAGAAAATGTTATTGTAAGTTGTTGCAATTGTAACTTATTTTGAATGCCTTCTTTATTTCTTTGGTTTTTGTATTATTATTTTAATATGAGTTTGTTTTGTTCTATTTTGATGTATAAAATGAGTTTTCTGTGTACTGTTTGTCAGCTGGGCATAGTTATTTGTTTAAAATAGATGGCCATATACTTTTTAAAAATAAAGTAAGGCTAAATTCCCACCTGAGACCAGAGTGGGAGACCCCTAGTGGAAGTTAAAAGAAAAAATTATTAAAAGAATTAAAAGAACAATCTGTCACTCCAGGATAATATAACAAGTCAATATACCATTGTAGAAAGAGGTATTTGGATGTAAGTATGTAATACAGGCAATATTGATTTGTATTCGGTACTTTTATAAAGTATTTGTTCAAGCAAGGATAAGCATCTGGCCAATACTTTTTTAAAGCATAATTTTATTTAACTTTAAAAATATTAGCAGTTAATATTTATTTAAAAATATTAATTATCATTTTTAATGTAATCAAAAAGCAGCATAACCATACAACTATATTACTATTGTATAAAATACTATAAAAAAGAAACCTAATGTGTTACATGACAAAATACAAAGTGAGGGGGGAAAAGAGGAAACCCATTATAAAACCATTGAGGAGGAAAGAGAAAAGGAAAAATGACACCTCCCCTGAAAAAAATCAAAAACAAAACATAAAATTAAAGAGAAACATTAAGAACCAATTTTTAAATACTTAAACCTAGTCTGTACAGCACTATATTGTCCAGTCTTGCCTCCCCATCTGTTCAGATCCAAGTCCATCTTAATTAAATTGATTTACCTTGTCTGGATTTAGCTTCTGAGCAGGATTGGTCCTTGGATAGGAGATGACCTCAGAAGACCAGGACTGTGGGCTAGGAAGTCAAAAAGAACATGCTAGAAGGCAGTGGCAAACCACTTTTGCATTACTGCCCATGTACCTAAGAAGGCCAAAGGAGTCAGCGTGACTTAAAAGAGACTCATCTGTTGCTGTAACTGACAAAATAGTGTTACCATACAGATGAATTTATGGTTTGTTTTATAAATTGTTATCTCTTTTATATTAACTTGAAGAAAAAATTGTGAGTGATTTCACCTCTGATCTTTGGTGTCTACTGTGCAATGTTACCAGAAAAATTAAAAGCATTTGAAATAACTACCATTGTGGTCCTAGTAGGGTTAGAAATGTCAAAAGATTTGAATCAGCCATCTACAACCTGTGAGTCTTTCGATGTCTCAGATTATCTTTAGAAACATAGAAGAAAATTATCCTAAATCCTTGCCACCAAGAGATCTCATTGTGATCCTGGAGGGCATGATGGGAATTGTTGTTTGGTTGATTTAACAAGCTAAATCCCTTAAAACAGGACAGTGCTTTTATGTCCTTGCTGAAGGAAACCTCTGCTCTTCCTTTGCATGCTACTTTCCAAACCTCTCTCTTGGGGCCAATTATTAGAGCAAACATAGTGTGCCAGGATGGCATCTGAGCTTGCCAGAAAAATAACCAAGAAATCAAAATAATTCCAAAGAAGAGAGTTGTGTTTCTGAAGAAAAGGTTTCTTTTTACTGTAACGGATTCATATTAACCAGTAATAACCATCCTTGCATTAAAAGGCTGTATGAAGGCATTGTTGTTTAACCAGGGAGGCTGAAAGATTATCCACCTCGGATGGGAAGGTGAGGGGAGAAATATGCTTATGCCACTCCATCTGAGGGTACTATTCAGTTTTGGGGTGGGATACACTGATTTTTTTCATTTCGCTTTATTTGTTTGTGTATGTCTATGTGAGAAAGTGTGAGTTAAACTTGCTAATTTTAGCAGCTCATGGGTAACAAGGGCTAGTTTTGCTCGTCCGATACTGTAATATGTGTGTCACAAAAGCCTTGCTTGTTGCCACTGAAAGTGGATATAGGAGCTCCTTATCTGAGTTAAGTTTTAAATAAGGGACAAAATAGTCAGGGGGGAAAAATGTTGTTTGACAAGTGCTTTTCAATGTTTTAAGCAAACCTTCAGTAGCACTCCTATATATGGTATGTGGTGGGGATCAGGGAAAAAAAAGACAAATATTTAAAAAGTTCCCAAAATAGCATAGGCTTGGGAATATGGAGCATATTGCTCATTACAACACTCATAGGCATTGCTCAGAAGGTGCCCCAGGGAGAGAAAAAAAGGAGGGATTGGCCCTAAAACTGGAGAGAAAAAACAAGGGAGGGATTCTAAAGTGCCAGTTAAAAATACTTTGAAATAATGTTCCTTTGTCAAGAGAGTTCTAAAAATAAACTAATACAGAAAAATCCACCAGTAAATATGCAGCACATGTGTAAAACACATTATATGTTACCAATCTTGCATTCACACTTAAAAATTTGTTTGAAAGCAAACTTTAAGTTGCTTCTTATATCTTCCAGTTTAGAAGAAATTCATAGGATTATGTGTTGAGAGAGAGAACATGGTAGCTATATCTGCAAAGAACGATAAGCCAAAATTATTCTGTCATTTTTTTCTTAAACGTATCCATTTCATGTATTCATAACCATGTTTATACTTATACCTATTATCTAATAATCACTTGACAAATTAAATAAATAAATAAAAATAAAAAAAATATTCACAAACTGTGTACAATCATGTGGAAGAGCCTTTATTAATCTCTTTGGATGGAACTGACCCAAACAATATTGAATCTGTCATCTGAAGCTGGACTTCTGCCTTGCTGTCTTGTTTGGAAGTCAGGCATCTTAAACTAAGCAAGGAGAAGACATATAGTTTTTCTCACAGCAATTAAAATAAAATGGGATCAAAAGAGTTGTATATATGACCACATGATTTGTGAAAAATAAATGATAAATCAGTACCTTCAGACTTATTTTTCTTGTATGAACAAAGTCAGAGTATTTCTATTAAAGGATTTCAAATCACAGTATCTTTTTACTAGGATCTCTCCCCAAAATCTAAAAATATCGCTATTGCTTATTTAAAATGCTGTAGCCAAGACAGTGTGTGTTGAAACCTAGAAGGGATGAATAACAAAAACATAATTTGCCAGGCAGTACTGATTTTCTTAAGCATTCTATTTATAGTTGAAATTAACTTGAGTTGAAGAATCAATTTTATATATATGGATTCCCAGAGACAGCATTAATCTCTGAAACTAGATAGATTATTTTATATATAATATATACATATTATAAATGCACACCTACAGAGAGAGAGAGAGAGAGAGAGAGAGAGAGAGAGAGAGAGAGAGAGACGAAATACATATAAAATACCAGACATTGTGGTAATAGACAAGGACCAGGAGGCAGCAGGAGTGATAGATGTAGTGGTGCCAAGTGAAATCAATATCAGGAAGGAGGAATATGAAAAGCTGCAGAAATACTAGGGCCTGAAGGAGGAACTATACACATAAAGTGGTCTCAAGTGGAAGTAGGATCACTTGAAGCTGTGACTCCTAAGTTGGGAGAATGACACCAATAGATTCCAGGAATAACATGGAAGCTCTCTGTCCAGAAAAATGCAGTACTAGAGCAGCTAAGATACTTTGCAGAACCCTCAAGCTCCCTAGAATAGCAAATGACATGACTGTATAGCTTCCATACATCTTGAGGATGGGTAGGTAGCATAACTTGGTAGTGACAGAAGACCGTGTGGAACAGAGATGTCACTATTTTAAATCTGTTGGTGCTCATAGTGAACACTATATATCTGTTGTAGATATACTGTTTTGTCTCTTGGCTAATTTTGAGAAGATAAATAGGTTGGATGCAATTCAGTAGAGATAGAAGAGACCATTAGGAATTTGTATGCTGGATGTTCAAAGCAAAAGGCAGTAGCAACTAATTTTCATTATTTCCAAGAAAACTACAGGGTTGTGTCTATGATGCCAGCAGGAGTCAAGATAGATTTGAAAAGAGAGTTTATTTTTGCACTACTGTCAATGAATAAATGTTATTTTTGAAAAGGATAGCATTATATATTGTAAACTAATTTATGTTGTTTGTTTATTTAATAATATGTACCTTCCAAATTTAAATGATTCTGGGCTGTATAAATATCACAAACCATTACAACGAAATCAAAATAAATCACATCAATTTAAAATTATGCCCACAATTCCTCACCAAAGAACAAAAATGTTTTAGTACTTTATAAAAAGCCAAGAGGATTAGATCCGGATGTCCCACAGAGGCAGTATGTTCCTTAAAGAGGGCACCATTACAGAGAAGGTCTCCCTTTCAGCCTTCCGGCCCACTTTCAATCCCTAGATAGGCAACTTTCAATCCCTAGATAGCATCATGGCAGCTTCTAATATATCCCAGTGCAACAACATATAAAGCTTTATAGATAATATCCACACTTTGAAATGGACTGGGAAGCCTGCAGTTAATCAGTTTTCCATAGCAGATTTGGGTTTCCTAAACGTAGGTTGTCACAGAATTATAATAATGTGGTGCCAAGTGAAGAGGACGGGAAGGCTGAAATGGATGTCTGCATAAATAACTTAATTTACATTAGCACATTCCTTCACTCTTCTTATTTATATTGAAGATCCGTAATATCAATAAAATTGGATCTGGAAATTTTAAAAAGGTTTTTCAGAATTTTCTTTCTGTATATTTTTGGCTACAGCTGACAACAATCTAAAACAGAGCTGTCAAACTCCCGGCCCATGGGCTGGATGCATCACATGCTGGCCAGGCCCATGCCCAGTTTAGCGAAGGGGGGAAAGGTCCCAATACATCACGTGATGCTGCTGTGACGCCGTGAGTTTGACACCCCTGATCTAAAAAATGTATAATTAAAATTATGCAGATTGCTTTTATAAAATTAATATTTTATTCTCTTAAACTAATTCAGAACAGTTAGGATATGATTTCCATAAACTTTCATTCATAACTTGCATAATGTAATTAGTTAGTTGCTTTCTTTCTGTCTTAACATACATTTGGAGTAAAGTTGGTAAATTCTAAACACAAGACTGCTGATGACATCTATCTGAAACTGAAACACCTGCAATAGTTAACATGCCAGTAAAAGAGGCTAAAGATTATTTTAAAAGGTCAAAAAAATGTGGATTTTAAAATCAATATCCTTGCATGCTTTATCAAATAACTAAATATGGGCTTTTTTTCAGATGGGAAAATAAATTGGCCTTTAACAAATGCAATACCATGCTCACATCGAAGAGGATAATAGCCCTCCTGTAAGTATAACATACATAAATATGGTGTACAAAGTCACATATACTATATGGAACAGCATGCTCTGAAACTCTGGAAAAAAAAATTTTATGTACCATATCAAACCAAATCATCTTGATAGGTCTTAATATTCAGAACTCCAGTTGTTGTGGAGGATTTTGTTTGCTTGCTTTAACATTTTGAGCTGAAATCTTATTACATGTGTTATTTTTCCAGCTGTCACAGATCACAGATTAAAAGCAAAGTCATGGAGACATTACATACAATTTTGAATCAGAGTAATTCTGGCATCAAAATAAAATGCAATTGGGAAAGCAAGATAATCTTGTGTGTTTCCCTTTTCTTCTCCTGTGATTACTTTCATTTTAGATTGGTCATGGCTCCTAAATTCAAACAGACTGTGATTTGTCTTACCTTTGGTTGCAAAAAGAGATCAATGTTAAGTTATTTAGGACTCCTGTCACAGAACTCAGTTGGGTCAATATATGTCTAAAGTACTTATGTTTGTGATATAGCAACTTTGAGATTCATGTTCTATTTCTCATGTTTGCATTCTTTATTGACTTAAAAAGTTTTATGTCTACTAAAGCTAAAGATATGCTGTTAACATCTTCAACAAAGCATTAATGTTATCATTAATTATTTAATTCATTGACTGGTAAAATGAGCATTAAACTGATTGTCATGTGAAATCAAATTTCAATTGGGCTTTTCTTTTTTCTTTTTTAATTTCAGCATGCTAACATCATAAGGGCTGCAAAAAGACCAAATATCTGTCCTCTTTGGATGTTTCAAGCAGTATAAAAAAGTGACTTCCTCATGACAACATGTCAGTGAAAGATCTCAGCCCCCGACATAGTTCAAAATCACGTGTTGTACAGCGGGCCTCTACTGTTGAAGTTGCCTCTGATATGTCAGGTTTATCCTTGACAGGTGATTATCCATTCCCTACCTGTGCTTTTCTAGTATTAATTATTAAGGTTCTGTCTTAGGCCCAGAACTCTTCAATATATTCATCAATGATTTAGATGAGGGGATAGAAAGGGAACTCATCCAATATATGGATGATACCAGGAATAGCCAACACTCCAGAAGATAGGCGTAAGATACAGAAGGATCTTGACAGACTTGGACATTGGGCCCTACCATCAAAATGAAATTTGATGGTGAAAAAAGAAAAAAGGTTCTACATTTAGGCAATAAACAGGTTTAGAAAATAAACTATAAACAGATATAGTATAGGTGGTACCTGGCTCAATAATAGCAATTGTGAGAAGGATCTTGAGGTCCTAGTGGACAATCACTTAACTATGAGCCGGCAGTATGCTGCAGGTGTCAAAAAAACCAAAGCAGTCCAAGATATATTTAGAGGGATGTAAAAAAGAGGTTGAGACTCTATAGCACAGAAAAGAGCAACAAAGATGGTTAGGGGACTGGAGACTAAAACATATAAAAAACAGTTGCTGGAATTATCTATGTCTAGTTTAATGAAAATAAGGACTAGGGGTGACATGATAGCAGTGTTCCAATATCTAAGGAGTTGCCATTAAGAAGAGGGAGTCAACCTATTTTCCAAAGCACCTGAAAGCAGACAAGAAACAATGGATGGAAACTAAACAAGGAGAAAAGCAATCTAGAACTAAGGAGAAATTTCCTGACAGTTAAAACAATTAATCAGGAACGTCTTGCCTCCAGAAGCTATGAATGCTCCAATACTGGAAGTTTTTAAGAACAGAATTGGACAACCCTTTGTCTGAAATGGTATAAGGGTTGGTCTAGAAGACCTCCCAGGTCCCTTCCAATTCTGTTATTCTATGTTCAGTGTTATTCCTCCATTTCGTTATTGCGTGGCAAATAAAAACACCCCGCCCAGCAAAAACGAGTTAAATGAATAACTTCTTTTTATTTTGCTTTAATATTTTTAAATGCAATTCTTATAGACAGGTCCTACCATTGTGTGATTTTTTTTTGTCAATTTTTATGAAAATGGCACATATTTCTAGATTCATAACCTGCAAAATTTCAGAATATTAAGAGCAGAGATTAGAGTTATTATGAATTTATGGTTTTGTATTCTGCTCCCCAAATATATGGCAAATACAATATAATAGGGATGTTTGATGGATATTTAAAAGGATACTGTATCGTGACAAAGATAGTAAAACCAGAGATAAAATAAATCTGAAAGTGACTCCAGAATAATTCCATAATTTATGAATCACAATAAATTTATTTTATTTCTTTTAATTCTATTGGGTCTTTTGATTCTTTTCTGAAAAAGCATAAGGGCTTATCAGAATTTCAGTTTCCCAAAAGAAGCACATAATTTTGCTAACATTTGTGCTTTACAGGAAACATCCAAGATCCAGATGAGCCAATCTTAGAATTTAGTTTAGGTAAGTAGTTTTGTAATATGTTTTTCATCATTCATTTTAAAATACTACCTTTATGCTTACTGTTTATATGAGGGTTAGTTTATGTACAGGTTTAATGGTTGGTTATAGTGAAACACGTTTTACAAGATCCTATGACACTTAGAGTACCTTCCTCAGCACTTTGTGATTTATCATTTTGGATTAATTTTTGTAACGTATTATAAATATATCACCTTTCTAGGAAAACATACTGTTAAATTGAAGCATTAAATAACCTAGTAACAGCAGTGTAAAATATATGTCAGAAATGTATCAAAATTAACACAAACAGTGCAGCTTATTCTAATAATCTGTTTCAGCATACTACCACTTTTGATCAATCTTCCATTCTGCACATTTGTGTGAAATACAGCATCTGAATATACAGCTGGCATCAATTCTCTTTTTCTAATTAATCCTTGAAAATTATCCATCTTTAAATTATAATTAAACTTTAATTGACAAGCATCAATTAACACTATTTTTCATACTCCATATCTTTTATATTTCTCTCTTTTCTTTTCACTTATTCTTTATTTCAGACAGAAGCCTAGTGTTTAGTATATCAGAATGACAGAAATTATGATCAATTCAGTCATTGTTTTGTATTTAACAAGTGAAAATTTTTCATTTCTTATATTCTATTTGTGAAATTCAGTTCCTTCAGTGTGTACACTGTTGATTTTCCACAGCTTGCAGTGAACTGTTAACTCCATCACTAGATAGGAAGCCAAATTGTTTTGTAGCAGTGAGTGTAACTACACCACCTCAGGCATTCTGGACAAAGCATGCTCAAACAGAAATTATTGAGGTAGGTTGTATTGTGTTTGCTGCATCATTAACCTGATTAAATTCTACTGGTACCAATTTGTCTCTACTAATTTTTGTTTTTTTGTTTCCATTACAGGGCACAAATAATCCCATCTTTCTAAGCAGCATTGCCTTTTTTCAAGACTCTCTTATTAATCAGATGACACAAATTAAACTTTCTATATACGATGTAAAAGATAGATCTCAGGGAACTGTAAGTTTAAAAATGTCTTCTATTGCTGCACATCTGAACCAATGCTTGCATGGGTTTGGTCCTTGAGGCCTGTCTAGGTTCTTTAAAGGCTGGCATTATTATAGTTATTATAAATATAGTCTGAGCCTGTTTTTGTCGATTATATTAAATATTAAATATATCACATTCCTTTGTTCAAAAATACATACAAATTTAAATCAAGAACCGTATATTTGAATTAAATGAAAATCACCCCAGTTGCATTGTTGAGGATGCTCATTCTTATTTCTTTCTTTTTTTTTTTTTAAACAAGTTTTATTAATTTTTAAAACACACAAATTATCATTATTCATTACATGTTTAAACCTTTTTCCCTTGTAAATTTAACAAGTCAGATAAATTATGATTCTGTTTTAAACCATTTCCATATAATATACCAAAACCTCTTATTCAATTTCTCTTTACTTCTCTTTACTCTTATTCAATATCATTATTATTATTTCATCTGTTTCTTTCTGACTTAGTTACCATTATTCTCATTCTATATTTCTACAAGTTTTTACCAATTCTCCCCCCAAAAAAGACATATACACACAGCACACAAAACATAAAAAAAATATCTTTTTGGAAAGTAACTTGGACCCAGGTGTCTCTCTCTTCATGGACTTCAATTATATTCATGCTCATCTTACATATCATTACTTATTTTATTTACCATTCTAAGCCTTCTATATTAACTTCTCCACATATTTCACACTTCTTAATTCTACCTTAATTAATCATCTTAGTTTAAATCATTATATTTGTATCTTTTGTCCATTTTTTATCATCCCTTTGTCTCATCCCTTATGAAAAAAAAGAAAATCAGTTTCTCCTGAAATCATTAATCAGAGTATGATGCCTTTCTATCTCCCCCCTAAGTTAATCAAATTAATCTTTAAAATAATATCTAATACCCAATCAGATTTTGCTTGGTACATTCTATCTAACTAATACATCCAACACAATTAAGTGCATAATTAGAGAATAAATCCAAATATTAAAAAGAAATACTATAATAAAAATTTTATAATAACATCAATACCATAATTTTATTAAACTCTTTAATTAAAACAATATTCTAAACCTCTCCTATTATTAAGTTTTAAAACCAATCATTTTTAAACATTTTAACATTTTAATCTCTTATCAACTCTTAAACCATTGCAATACTACCATCTCATCTTATGTACCTTGCAAAATCTTTTTTTTTTTAAAAAAAAAATTATACTTTATCCATTATCCATAAAAAATTCCTTTTTTCCATTTAATTTCAAAACGTTGTAGCTTTTCTCCACCTTTTCCCTTTCTTTCTTTTCCCAACAAACCTTTCTACCCCCCCTTCTTCTAGCCTCTGCCTTACCGGCTTCCCTTCTCTGTCGTATTTCTTTTCCCCTTTGTTTACAATCATCATATTGGTTTTGCACTTTATTTTTCCCTTTCTTAAATGTTTTTTTAGATCTTAAGTCCTTAAATCCTTTAGTTTTCTTCTTTTCTCTTCTTTTCTTTTCTTTCTCTCTTCCTTTTTTCTGGATCAAATTCTGAGATTCATTAAAGATGGCTCCTTCCTTTCTTTCTTGTTCCTCTGCTGTCTTCATCTGTTGTAATTTTTGTTGATAATTAGTAAGCGCCATTTCTAAGAAAAGAAAAGCTTCTTCCACACCATTTCTTAGTTCCTCAACAGAAAGAGCCATTATAAATCTTTTCTTTTCTTTTCTCCTTCTTTCTTCTTACAACAACCAGAATATTCAAAAAAAAAAAAAAAAAAAGATAAAACAGTCCCAAAGTTATCAATCAGTCCAAACCAAGGCAGAGTTCTCACTTTCTCCTTCTGGGGTGATATCAATCAAAGAGAAAGAAAGTCCAAATCTGTTTAAAGTCTTGTTACAATATATTCTAGTCTTCAAATCCTTAAGGCATCTGCTCCAACAAATCTTAGCATACAAATATTTTCTTTTTAATCCTCTCTCTTCCCACTCATCGCTTAAAACCAATTTCCACCTAAAAAAATAGGTTTCTTAATATCCAGTTATTTATTCCGTAGGAAAAGAGGGAAAGCTATCCTTTCAGCACCTTCAAGCAGCCGCTTTTTTCCTCTTCTGGCAGGTATTATTCAGAAAGTCATACTTTTCAGGAATTTTATTAAATATGTCTTAGAGTCCTAGGAGCCAAGAAAAACTTTCTCCTCTCAATCACTTTCTCCACTTCCTCCTGCGCATTCTTACCCGGCTGCCAGCTTCTTTGTGGCGGCCATTACGGACCGCCGCTGCACCGTCCTGGGAAAAGGGGGTTCTGCCGGCCAGGGAGGGGGTCTGCAGCACCCCCAAACCCTTCTCCGGATCCCCCCTACCTTCAGCTGCCCCTGCAGGGCAGCCTAGCTCCGTACCCGGCTGGGTCGGAGCCCCAAAAACGGCTAGCGCGGCAGGGATCGCACAGCTTCGCAAATCCCTGCCGCTCGCGAAGCCGACAAACCGGAAGTCCCGGATGCTCATTCTTATTTCTAATGCTGGGATGGCATTTTCTTTGGGGTTTGCAGGTGTGAAAAGAAATCTCCAACCTTACTGTGCTAATGCATCTTAAGTGCTCCTGCTTATTATCATTATTGAGTGAAAAAAGGATGGAGGTATGCTGTATAATTAAATACAGTATATAGTTGGTGGGCTGTTTTAGGATAGAACCAAATATTTCCTTGCTGTGGCAGGGAGGAAATGCATCTTTGGATCTGACTTCTAAAATATAATTATAATGGATATTTAGTGTTCTTTCCTCTTCTTGTTTTCATAAATTATCCCCATAAAAAAAGAAAAAAAAGTTCTCTCTCTCTCATGTATGTATGCATAAACAATGTTTATATTGTTTATAGATGTATAATTTAACACAGGTGGTAAAAAATAAGCCATTTTAAATGTGAGTAGATATAATTTAACTGAATTATGGAGTCGTGCATTTATTATAAAATTAGGGGAAAAATGTCCCTTAACTCATAATTTAGATTCTGAATTATGTTTACCGGGTTCTATGATTTGGCATTATTTCTGAATTGAGGGAGAACTGAGAAAGGGATTTCTCCATCAAGTTAGTGATTTGGTTTTACATGAAATATTAAAGCCAAAGAAGTGACCTTTCAAAACTGGAATTAAAAATGGTAATAATTTATTACTAAAATGTTTTTGTTTTTGTTTTTCTTCAGATGTATTTATTGGGTTATGTGATATTCACTGTACAGGATCTACTTAAGGAGAAAAGTCATAGGCTGCATTTAACACTAAGGTTAGTATTTGGTCTTGTTTCATATGAAAAGAATCTGTATGTTAATTAAAGAAAGCCAGGCTAATTCGGTTTAATTCATTTTTAAAACTCAGTTAACTAAGAGAATGAGCATTGCAGGTAGAATCAGAATTCAAATGCTCTCTAAAAACAAATGTCATGTTATCTGGAAGAGCAAACATAATGTAGTTATATTATTATTATTACTATTACTTTTATTATGATTACTGCATATATTTCTTGGTGTTGTTATCATGGACCTTAAAGGTGCAGCATAGCCTTAATCACTTTAAATCCCTGCTCAAAATTTCACTCAATCTTTCTTGATCAGCTTTATGATGAGAAATTATTGCTTATTTCCAAAAGATATTGTGTGACTTAGACTGAAGAATAAAAGAGTATGCACTCAACATTTTTTAATATGCATTACCACTGACAAAATTATGAGTCTAAAATTTGAGATTAGATTTGTTTTAACTGAGGATAAAATCCCATTCAAGAAATGGTGTTTTTATAAACAATAGAATTTGGAGGCCCAGAGTGAGCCCAGTTTTGCCATATTGCACAATTGTATCTCTCTTAATGAAAGGGGCACTGTTGTGTCTCATGGACCCTGATTGATTTATCTCAAGTAATTTGTACATTGCAGATCTGCTGAAAATGACCGTGTCGGGAATATTACAGCCATAGGATGGCAGATGGAAGAAAACACAGACGAAAGGCCTCCTGTGACCAGATCTCCTGATACTATTAATGGAAGAGTGAGTTTGCTCTCTTTCTTCCATGTATCTAACTCTTCTTATTCTTCCCACCTCATTCCTCAGAGTCAATTTTTTCCCTAAAGCCGTTCAACCTCTATTAGATAAAAATATTCTGTTATGTATCTAAAAGGAAGAGATCTGTATAAGGCTACCATTTCAACTCCAAAAGTGACAATGAGAAAAAAGCTTACTTGTTTTCTTTATTGTTCTCAATAAATTGAAGACAACTTTTTCATGTTAAAGAAAAATTATTGATTTTTTTTTTAAAAAAAGAACTGTTGTTTTCCTCTCAGACAAATACAATATATCTTAGGAATTGAGGAATCTTGGCCGGGGCACTTTGCAACTCTGCTTATAGGAACCTGTTGTTTGTCAAGTTTCTGAATTTCTAGGTTGCACCTTCAGCTTGAGAACCTGGTTTAAATATAAATCTTACAAATGATGATGCTTGATTACTCTGTATTTGTAATTAATATATTTTTCTGCTTTTTTTTCAGACTGTGCTACCAGTTGATGAAAGTTTGACAGAGTCCTTAGGAATCCGTTCCAAATATGCTTCATTACGAAAAGATGCACTATTAAAATCGGGTAAATAACTTCAAGAGTGGATGAGTATTCTGCATCTTAATTTTTTTTTTCCAGTACATTGTCATGCCTGTTCTTTCATATATTATGTCAGGGTTTATGTAATCAGATTGACCAGACAAAGGATTCTGCCATTTGGCTTTGTGGAGAGAAAAGATCAGTGAATAGAACTGACTTAATGGAACAGAGTGAATAAATACTAAAGAGGAAAAACTCCAAGTTGCATTACTTTATGGTTTTCAAATCTTTAAAAGTGTGCTACATCATAGATTTAACTATATAAAAGCATTTGGACACGTCTACATCAGCATTACGGTCATTCAGTTCATCTAAGTGCAGAAATGATTAAATCATTGTTCACATGCAGAACAATATTGTTATTTTTATTCTAAGTAATAATATTTTTCCAGGATTTCACTGAAATCTCTTAGATTAAGGATTGGGGGGGGGGGGGGGGGGGGGGGGAGACAGCAGAGTTCACCAGAAGTAGTTGGCCTAGATTGCAATCCAGATGAAAATACGACATTGATCTACAGTACATCTGTCTATGCATAAGAGATCTGAGGGTTTTTTCCAGAGGGAGGAGGTATTTGGCTGCAAGCTTTGTGCTGTTTTGAATCTAAGCCCTGATCTTTAGGAGGCCATGAGGATGCAAAAGAAATTACAAACTGAAATAAACTGATCAGAAGCCTGTAATAGGCTTGTAGGACAATAATAGTAACAACTGTTTCCAGCATAGGTTGTGGTTTTAGTTGTCCAACCTTCCTGTTTACTTTATGTTGTATTTTCCTTTTAAGTTGAAACATATAGGGCCCGTGGTATCAAAGGCAGATGCATGGATGGCAGAGTGAAAAGAACTGTTCTTTAAAAAAGAACAGTTCACAAGCCTATCTTTTATCTCATCACTAAATGCATTACACTGAGAAACTAGGAAAACCTGAATATCGCAGTCTAAATATTCATTTGTATGGCATACAGTCTTTAATAATCTTTTCAATGTCAACTTTTTTTTTCATATTGTATCAAAACTCAACTTTCCATTTCTGGTTTTTGTTGAGAGGAATGTACCTTATAAGCTGTGCTTTTAATATGCTTGGATGTGCTAAGTAGGTTTTAGCATTTCAAGGTTAATAGGGTTTCTGGCCTCTCTAAATGGTTTGTTAAATTAATGTGTTAGGGGAATGGAGTTTGCATGGCCTAATTGCAATGAAGTACTTATTTAAGTGTTTTAATATTTTAGTGTTTGGAGGTGCCATTTGTCGGATGTATCGTTTTCCTACCACTGATGGCAACCATCTGAGGATTTTGGAACAAATGGGAGAGAGTGTGCTCTCTTTACACATTCCCAGGCAATTTGTGAAATTGCTGCTAGAGGAAGATGCTGCAAGGTAAAAGTCACTGCAATAAAGTTTTAACTGTTGATGCTAGCGAGGAAATACAATATTAAAGCAAACTTTGCACAGTGCCTACAGAGATTAGCTGACACCTTTCTTTTATTTCTTTTCCTGATCATGTCTGTAAATATTTAACCATGCCTGTAAATAATTGGTAGGCTGAAAAATAATGCAGCACAATTACTTGTTTGTTTTAGTGTTACAGGATAGAAAAGGCATTGATCGCTCTGGTTGATTTACATCAACCTTCCTCAATTTACATTGATCACTCTGGTTGATTTACATCCATTCCTACCTCAATGGTGACTAACAATCCACAGTTATGGGAATCACTTGTTGAGTCCTTGCAAACTCTAGTGCTGAGTATTTTAGTGTTCTTATTTCTCCGTGTTAATTAATATATACATGAGACTGACTGGGGAAATTATGTTATGATTCAGAAATCAGAGTTATGATCCAGATCATCAATGTGGAGATGATACCCAGTTTTATATTGGCCCATCAAGCTGAGCCAAAGATGCTGTAAAACTGGAGTTGGTTGAGGGTGTGGATCAGGGGTGGGATTTTACAGGTTTGCACCTATTCTCTAGAACCGGTTGTTAACATTCTAAGCCGTTTGGAGAACCTGTTGTTAGAAGAAATTACTGGCCTAATCCTGAAAGGAAGGCAGGAAGGAAACATTCTGGTGTTGCTTACAGAAACTGCCTCTCCGTTAACCCTTATTACGTTCTTGGCAGGACTAGACTTCCTGTCTCAGGAACTTCTCTGGAGTTTTCCCCCCCTCCTTTGCTGGTACTTTGCTTGTGCCGAGTGACCATTCATTGCTACAATGGCACTGAAAAAAGTGACTTATGACCATTTTTTACATTTACGACTGTTGCAGCATCCCCACAGTCATGAGAGGCCAGGCGAGGAGATGCATGCCTTGATGTGAGTGATGTTGAGTTGGCCACACCCAGCCAGTTACATGACCACCAAGTCATGCCCACCACCTAAGCCACGCCCACAGAACCGGTTGTTAAAAAATTTGAATCCCACCCCTGGTGTGAATGGGAAAAACAAGACTGGATTAAATCCCACTCTAAGTCAAAGCTTCTAGTCATCATTAATGCTGTTATTTGAAAATAGTTTGATTTGTTATTTTCCTTCCAACAAATATCCTCTAGCAATAGACATGCTGTAAAGTGTTGTGAAAAAAATAATAGGATATGTGCTGCACTCTTTCAGGCTTTGCAGCTGCTGCTGTTGTTGTTTGGACAAATATGTCTTATTTCAGTTAGCATAGGTACACACTGGCACTTGTAAAGGACAATTTGTCCTCCATTTACCTATTCATGAGTTTTTCCTGCTTGAGCTTCTGATTTAAGAAAACAATTTATAGGGGGAAAATCAGGATATGAAAGGACTATTAGCAATTATTTTTGTGTAATGGCTCCATGGGGAAAGCATATAATTTTTGTTTGCCTTCAGTTTCCTCTGGAATCTGCTTTGACTGCTTTGAAATTACTCCATCACCCAAAACACTTGATCTAAAGTTTTTTTTATTTATAAGTTTGCTTATAATTGTTTTATTAAATTTGTACAATCAAATTCTGAAACAAAGCAAGTATCTATTGGCTGATTTGCACTTGGTGAAAATAATATTTGTTAATAGAAATAAATAACAATTTTAAATAAATAAAAAGCAAATGAAATACTGGTTAAAGTGAAAGAAGTTTCCAAAACACACTAGTCTCATCAAAGTACTATAGTACTGTACAATAACACCCCACATTATTTATTTTGTGTTATGTATAGAGTAGTAGAGTTGAGCAAAAGTATCCCAAAGGGCAGCTATGCAGAATGCACCGATTCACCTTGAAATGGTGAAACAACTGTTTGGCATTGCTATTTTGGAGACTTTTCCTGGGTTTCTCATGGGCCGCTTCACAGAGCTGCTTTGTTCTGTGGGCCATTCCAGCAGAGGTGCTCCCCATGCATGCACATGTATGAAGAGATAGCTGGGGACAGCATTCAAAGCAGCTGCACTGAGTTTTCTGGAGGATGTGGCTCCTAGCTGGACTCCTTGCTAAGACTTCCCTGATATCCAGGCAGTTTGTATACTGAAATATTAGCTTATAAAAATATGAGAAGAATTCTGCTCGTTTGGATTAACAGCCTACGAAGTTCAGCATGCTGTATAATATAATGACCAATCAGAAATATTCAGAAATTTTACTAACAGGATGGATGATTTCCCGTCTTCTGTTCTTTCAGGATAATTCTGATGGATAGGGGTGGTAATATTTAATTGAAACTTTAATTTAGCAACTTTTGTCACCTGTAATATAATTTTTGACACTTTTAGCTGGTGTGGAGACTTCTGTCATTGGGTTTCTAATTTACTTGGGGTTAATTTTACTTTTCATCATAATTTACTTTGAATCCAGGTTTAATTGGCCTAACAGTATAGAAGTAAGGTAATGATAATATCTGTCCTAGATTATTTTTAGTATTGTAAATAAACTGATAAAAAAGAATCCCATCTTACTTACCATGGAAGGCATCTTTGACATTCTCATACTGATACTTCCTCCAATCTGGGGTCTACAATTGCCACTAGACAATTGACTTTGAAATTGGGATTGGATAATATCACATGTCCAAAGTATCTGAAGGACCCTAGATTGGGGAAAGCTGGATTGGGTGATTTGTTGATTAATTGTCATTACTCCTGCTTTCATTAGATATAAGGGGAATCTGACACATCATTGTCATAATGGTGTTGTAAGAATGAGTGCATAGGATAAATTGTATAATCACTGTTATATTACTGGAGCTGTATAAAAAGCAACTTCAGACTTTGAAATAAATTTTTAATGAGAAATTACTCAGTTTTTTTGCGGTCTTTCTTTTTGTCTCAGAATCCTGGCATTATGTGCCTTAATTGAAAAGTTAACTTTTTCTATTTGAAACAAAATCTGTAAGTGTCTGTAAGTGTCATCTGCTTCTGTGATTCATTATTGCAGTGTAATTCATGCAGTGATTAGAAGGTTCTCACCTTCTAATGGAGGTCTGGGAATTTCCAGTTCCTTTCCAGTAATTTGCATTCAATCAGAAGACTTTAAATTAGGCCTTGCCAAGATTAGAACTTCCCAGTAGAGCAGTTTCAGGATAAAATTAGCAGATATACATCGATAGGTCAATGTAGAACATACATAAAGGGATCTGTGTGGGCGTTGCAGGAAACTGTGTTTTCATATGCTATATACCATTATTTTTCTATTATTTGTGATTAACCATCAAATGCTTAATTTTAGTAGATGACAACTGCTGTAAATTGGACAAATAATGCTTCTTGGTATATTCATTTAACTTTTTCCACCCTTGCCATTTTGTCTAATTTAGCTTTTTCCAACCTAATGGCTGCCCAGACATGTGTGACTTCAGTTCCCCAAATTCTCAGCCAGCATGGACTTTGGTTAGACTGAGCTAGGAAGCAATGATTGACTGATTCAATTAGATTGAGATGAAAGAAGTTTAGGCTCTGCTCACCCAATAAGATTCATGAATGAATTGGATGTTTAATCCACTACTGTTGGTAAAGCTTGCCTATTTATGTTATATGAGAAATCTCAGCACTGTTTAGTTTTATGCTATGGTGAGTTGAAGTAAAGATATACTTTTCCAAATGCTAAAAGTATGGATATAAATTATAGGAACTGCAGTGAATCAATACAGCTTTTTCTGGAAACAAGAGTGATGTAGTGAAAATATGTTATAAAATCTTCCATATTTGGTATATCTGGTATTTGCAAATTGATATATTTTTTTAAAAATGAAAAATTAAAGTAAACGGGAGAGATTAGTTTGAAAAGAAGAAAATTGTTGAACTTGATGAAATTGCATCAGTAAAAAGTAATATTTTTCAGTACTATACATACAGTAGAACTTGTATTCTCAATCCCCAGTGTTTTGGATTTGGAATTAGTAGCAGACAATTCAGTAGGAAAATTTCCACTGAATTCCTGAGTTTTAGAAATTGCAATCATATAGCACTCTGTTGGATTTAGAAACCATTTCAAATGTGTATTGGACCCACATTGGACCCCTCACATCGTGGACATAAACTGTTTCAACTCCTACCCTCAAAACAGCGCTATAGAGCACTGAACACCAGAACAACTAGATACAAGAACAATTCCTGTGGGTCTTCTTCCTAATTGTTGCTGCCAGGTGGAAAAATGTTACCTAAGTAGAAGTGGAAGTGGGATATATACATTAATTCTGAGTGAGGAGTTTGGGAGGGGATGGGATGGGACAAGGCAATGCTGGTTGCTAATGTTTCCTCCAATTTCTTCTGGTAAAAGAACAGAAATAGGAAGGTGAGCTGGGAGATTTTAAAAAAAAGAGTGTTGAAGAAGCTGGCCAAGAGTTTGAGAAATAGGTCCATCATTATCTTGTGCTTTTCTGGTGGTATAATGGACTGTATTAGTTCATTATGTCAGTACAGAGCTATAAATTGTGGTATGATGTCAGCACTACAATTCTCCATTTGGCCCAGTATACTTATAGCTAGCAATTTGTTTATGAGCTGTCAGTTAGTAATTTGATGATATATTTGACAGGTGTTTTAAAATAAGCAAACAGAATACTGTGTAATTAGGATACAAGAATTATAAAAATCTTAACAGTGAATGTATTATACTAGTAGAATAGATAGGATGGGGAAAATCCATTTGATTTTCATTTTTATATGAAGCTGTTCAACCTGAGCTTTTCAAACCTGTATTTGACCTGGAACACACTTGTGTATCGAAATCCTGACTTTTCAGAATCTTGCAATATGGTGCAAAAGAGTTACGTGAGATGGTAGCCATATAAATATGATAAATAAGTAAACAAAAATACAAGCAGAAGTATTGTATTTTTTGTGTAGCCTTCTTTTTTAATTAAAAATGTTGTCATGCCTACTATTTATATTTTTATCTATCCCTCTATTATTTGTGTTTACATTGGAATACACACCCTGGCAGAAAAAGCAACATTACAAAAACCCTACAAAATTACTTACTTTGTAAGTTAAACACATTTATAAAAAACATTGCATTGTTTCTTATTTGACTTGTGAGCACATGCTTGGAAATGTGAGAACATAATTTGAAAATCCTATAAATGCTTTTACGCCTAATTCTATTTCACATGTTTAGAAACAAAAAGCTATGTATTACATCTCCTTAACGAAGGTAGAGACATTACCAGTTCCTCTGAAGGTTTTACTATTAAGTGTACTACTCATTTGTACTATTCAGTGTTTATAAATGGATATAACCAGTTTTCAAATATTAGCAGGAATCCCTTTCCCTTACACAAGAAATGAAAATAAGGGAGAAGCATCTTCTCCCATCACTGTATTTCCACATTTAGAAAATTTTGCTTGATTAAATTATGTTCTAAAGCTGTTAATGGCATGAGATCTTGTCAGAAACAAAAATTTCACTTGATATCCATCAGTCCCACTTAATATTGGAAAATCAAATAAACAGAATATGAATGTGGTTAACATTTGACCTTTCTCCATGTAAGGACAAAGTAATTTATGAAAAAAATGAGAATAATAAGTTTAACATATGCCTCAAAAAAGCTCAAAATGTATTCTAATTAAAATGAAACATTTAAGTAGTCCATGGGTAGGCTTGAATAGATAGTTTTAAAAGATGAGGAAGATGTGTTTTTCATTTAGTATATAACTGATCTAATAGTATTTCATTGTCTTTGGATGTTTTGGTAGGATTTGTGAACTTGAAGAACTGGGAGAGCTGTCACCTTGCTGGGAAAGTCTTCGTCGGCAAATAGTCACTCAGTACCAAACAATTATTCTGACCTATCAGGACAACTTGACAAATCTTCATCAATATAAAGGTAGATACTTCAGACATAATTTTTATGATGGTTTCGAAATCACCAGGTATAGATTTTGTTGCCTTTTTGACAGAAGAAGATTGCTATCTAAATGTACTCTTCATACAGACCCAATTGCATAGATTCATAGTAATTGTTATGTTTGCTTATGTCATTTGGTTTCACCAAGATGGGTATAGGAAGAGATGTGGAATCTTGTATACTATCCATACCAACCATGCTATCTTTCTTTGTCCAGGAAGATTGGAAGTGGATAGATATAGAAGAAGAATTCTATAAATACAGTGGCATTTTATGCATTCAATACAAATGAAAGGCAATAGAACCACAAAGTAAAATAGTAATTAAATACCATTAAAAGCAAAAGAACAGAGGATATTTTTGTCTCCAAAAATAGATGAGAATTGAGTCTATGTACAGTATATACTAAGGTGGAAGAAGAACAGAAAGAATGCTATGAATCATATTGGGATTTGTGGCTTACAAAAATTGTGTCTTTTTAATAAATGAACAATTTGCCTTACTTTTTTAAATTGCATTTTTTAATTTGGGTTTTTGCATGGAATTCTAGTCTTTAAACAACAACCCCTTTCTGTTAAATTAGATAGAGCAGGAACAGCTACATGAATATCTTTACAATATTGGACTTTTTCAATTTTACTTAAAAAAGAAAAGAGGAATACAAGAATGGGATGCTGAACATTATAATGAAATCCACTACATTTCACTCTTCTGGCAGTTTTAAACACACTTTGCCCATTAAGGCCACTTCCAGTATTGGAGCAGTATTGAAGAAGAAATGGTTGGACAAAATACTGTAGCTCTGATGAGTGATCTGGACTTGCCATTAATGTGGCTCTTTTGCTGTTGCAATAAAAGTCAGGTTTGTATATATTGAGGCAATGTTTTTTGGCATTCAGCCTCTGTACATCATCACATTGAATTTCAAATGAAACATTCAAGATGTGAATGAAGTGAAGACTTTCAGCTTGAATTCAAGGACTTTGACAAAAGTGTTTCCCTTGATAAGTTCTCACCTAGGCAAGGCCTAATTTAAAATCTTCTGATTGAATGCAAACTACTGGAGTAAGGCTGAATATTCCCAAACTTCCATCATTGTCCCGATATACACGGACCTGATTCTACATTGTCCTTGACATTTAGCCATTGATCATACAAAGAAATAGATGTCAGGTCTGATTTGTCATTAAACTGGTGGTTCTGAAGATTTCTTTGAATTTTATTTATTTATTTATTTGAGTTTGATGGCTACCAACGTCAACAGGGTGGTAGGTACTACTCTGGGTGACATGCATCATATGACTTAAAACAATGTTAAATAAATAAAAGAATACAAAATAAATAAGATATGGCACCAAGTAAAACTATTACTATGGATGTGATTACACCCGGAACCTTATCATGCTCAGGGCCCTAGACCCCGGGCCTACAACTAAGTCTTCATGAACTTACAAAAAGCCAAGATGGTCAGGGTCATCCTGATATCTGAAGGGAGAATATTCCAGGGGCAGAAGCTACGGCTGAGAAGGCACATCTCCAGAATGCCTGCTTTTGCCAGGTTAATGAAAACATTTATCCTAAAATAAAGGGAAAGCAGCAATAACAAAGGAAAATCAAGAGATGGAAAGGCTTTGCAGAATGAAACTTAAAGCAGTACATCAAGGATGGATGAGTATTGTGGCAAAGAAATGCTTTGTTTGCATAAACTTTAATCCTGTAAGCAAAATCCCAGAACCAACATTTTATAATCTTAACATTTCCAGATAAATGACAATAAAATGGCATGCCCAGTTACGGAATTAGAAGGATTCACAGCAAAAGAGCATTATCTTTTTTTGTGTGTCCTTTATTAGTCAGCATTCAAAATTTTTCACGTTGCTTTTAAAGGACTAAGTCAGAATTATGAAATTTGGCAGATCTTTCCATTTATCTTCTAAATATTTAAGATGTATCATTGCTATTATGTCCTGTACATTTTTTTTAAAAAAGTCTTTAAATATTCTAAAATTATCTTCATACTTTTACAATCAGTTTTACAAAAATATCCTGCATGTCTGTGGTCCAAAATACTCTATAGACAGTATTAAAACAGTATCGTAATGGCATATTTTCTCTATTTACTTTCTTTAAAGCAACATATCAGCTACATTTATTTTTCCATCAAAAAGGTATATTGGAAACTCTTGGATAGTTGTTTAGTCTGAAAAGAAGCATAGGCCATATTCCGAATGCATTTCAAGCTTGGAAAACATCAGAGAATGACCTAAGACTGCAATGAACATTTGGTGAATACAAGTACTAGCAGTGATGATGTCATCTAGTTTGGGTAATGAACAAACAACCAAGCTTAGAAATCACCGAAGACTCCATAATTCAACCTTCTTTTCTATTAGCTATAACACCCTGAAGGAAATCTACCTTCTTTGAAACAAAGAGAGCTTAGACCAAGTGATACCCCAACAGTTTCCCATGGGGATTGGAATTGGAAGCATTACTCTTCGTTCTGACTTGTGATTAAATATAGGAAATACAATTGCTGATCTATTTATCATTTTCTTACTGTTATTTATGGTAATTGTTCTTTTCTGTTCATTCATTATTATATTTCTGTGAAGTTAATATATAAAAATTGATGTTTTTCAATTCATTTCTCCAGGACCATCATTCAAGGCAAGTAGTCTGAAAGGTGATAAAAAGCTTGAATTCATGCCAACAAATTTACATATACAGCGAATGAGAGTCCAGGATGATGCAGGATCAGGTATTCTTATGCTTCTTAATACATTTTATATGTATATTATTAGCAAGCTCAGTTCTCCATGTGTGAATCTTTATTTTTCATTATCAACAAGCTGCATATAATTTTTTAAAAGAAAGCCTTTAGAGCCTAATAAAAATTAAGCTTTTCTGGTGTATTTCTGAAATTGAAGGGTCAAGAAATGGCATATGCTCTTGGCTAGATCCCTGAGTAGGAATGCTTTGTGCTGTGGCATTTTTTTTTCTGGTCTTGGGCTTCTTTTGCTCATGTGAATTTAGTGCCCTTTGTTTTTGATTCTCTTTCTTTACCCAGCTTAGGGTAAAAAAAATGAGAGAATTATGAAAAGTTATATATATATTGTTCCCTGAATAAAGAGGTTGGAAGTATATTGAGTATTTGCTGATTAGAACAAGTGGCTTTTGCCATAAACTGATGAAAAAGGTTGCAAAAACATTTAAACTTTTAAACACCAAGGAATGGGGCACCCTGTACAGGTAATCCTTGAGTTACAGCAGTTCACTTAGTGACTGTTTGAAGTTACGCGATAAGCCCCCCCCCCCAAGTATTTATGACACAGTCTCTAAAAGTATGAATGTTGCAGCACCAGGCAGTCGTTCACCCTTACGAATGACTGCAGAGGCACTGCAACATGCACCTTATCTATTCCCACCCCCAGTCGGGTCTCCATAATTTTCCCCTCTCCCATCGCACCACGCCAGACTCATCTTGTGAAACTCTGTCTCCTCTCTGCTGCGGTTTCTTTGAGAGAGGGACAATTTTGCTTCCAACATCCGATTGGCTTGCAAATGTTTTGCACAAAGACTAGAAGCTGTCAGGTTTCCAAGTGATGAAATCCATTTAAAAAGAAAAAAAGCAAAGTCCATCTTCCATATTACCGTATTTCTTACAAAATAAGGCCGGGCCTTTTTTTTTTTTTTTTTTGACCCCTGAAAAAAGGGGTAGGCCGTCTTTTCGGGGGTGAGTTAATTTCCTCCCCCACCTAGAGCGGCCCATACGCACGTACCTCGCCGCAAGGCTGCTCCTATCAGCAGACGAAAGCTCCCCGAAGGCAGAGTCCTCAGCTGCTTCAGGGCGTGGCGTGGCTGCCCGTGTCCCCTCGCCTTTAGGCAGTCTCTTTCGGGCGATGGAAGCTCCCCAAATACAGTCACCAGCCACTTCGATTGGCCGGTAGAAGTGGCCTTGGGGCGAGCGCACACACACACACGCACACACACTCCCCTTTCCACGAGGTCGCTTCTATCGGCAGACAAAAGCTCCCTTGAAGGCAGAGTCCCCAGCCACTTCGGGGCGAGGCGTGGCTACCCGTGTCCCTTCGCCTTTAGGGCAGTCTCATTCGGGCGATGGAAGCTCCCCAAATGCAGTCACCAGCCACTTCGATCGGCCGGTAGAAGCAGCCTCAGGGCGAGCGCACACACACACACACACACACACACACACACTCCCCTCGCCACGAGGCCGCTTCTATCAGCAGACAAAAGCTCCCTTGAAGGCAGAGTCTCCAGCCACTTCGGGGCGAGGCGTGGCTGCCCATGTCCCCTCGTCTTTAGGCAGTCTCTTTTGGGCAATGGAAGCTCCCCAAATGCAGTCACCAGCCACTTCGATCGGCTGGTAGAAGCAGCCTCAGGGTGAGCGCACACACACACTCCCCTCGCCATGAGGTCGCTTCTTTCGGCAGATGAAAGCTCCCTTGAAGGCAGAGTCCCCAGCCACTTCGGGGCGAGGCGTGGCTGCCCGTGTCCCCTCGCCATTAGGCAGTCTTTTTCGGGCGATGGAAGCTCCCCAAATGTAGTCACCAGCTACTTCAATCAGCTGGTAGAAGTGGCCTCGCAGCAAGGGGAGTGTGTGTGTGCCACGCCTCACCCCGAAGCTGCTGGGGACTCTGCCTTCAAGGGAGCTTTAGTCTGCCGATAGAAGCGGCCTCGCGGCGAAGGGAGTGTGTGTGTGTGTGTGTGTGTGTGCGCTCGCCCCGAGGCCGCTTCTACAGGCCGATCGAAGTGGCTGGTGACTGCACTTGGGAAGCTTCCATCGCCCGAAAGAGACTACCCTAAAGGCGAGGGGACACTGGTAGCCATGCCACACCCTAAAGCGGCTGGGGACTCTGCCTTCAAGGGAGCTTTCATGTGCCGAAAGAAGTGACCTCACGGCGAGTGGAGCGTGTGTGTGCGCTCGCCCCGAGGCCGCTTCTACCAGCCGATCGAAGCTCCCTTGAAGGCAGAGTTCCCAGCTGCTTCAGGGCAAGGCGTGGCACACACACACTCCCCTTGGTGCAAGGCCGCTTCTACCGGCCGATTGAAGTAGCTGGTGACTGCATTTGGGGAGCTTCCATCGCCCGAAAGAGACTGTCCTAAAGGCGAGGGGACACGGGTATCCACGCCACGCCCTGAAGCAGCTGGGGACTCTGCCTTCAGGGAGCTTCTATCAGCTATCGGGGTATTCTAGCCTAGGCTACCTGTAGGGCACTCCTAAAGGCAAGTTTTCTCCCCATCCCCCCCGCCCTTCCCCCGCGCAGTTCTCTTCACCTCGTGTAGTTCTAACAACCGATGTGAGAAATGGCAGGGAAAAGCATGGTTTGAATAGGCCTAAATTTTGGGGGCGGGGCTTAATTTCACCTCATGCCTAGAAATCATGCTGGGCCTTCCTATTGGTGGAGACCGTATTGTTGGAGAAACACGGTAATTCTGGTGACTGTGATCTTGCGGGACTTCAGGCTAGGAGATCATGGCAGAAGCTTCCAGTCTCAATGCAAAATGTTTGCAAGCTGATGGGATGCTTTAAGGGTTAGTGTTAGGGTTAGGGTGATTTCACTCCCTCAAAGCGTCCCACAGCAGAGAGGCTGGAGAGCTCGCTAGAACTTTGCTAGTTAAGTGACCTGGTGTGACCAGATTAGGGGAAGGGGAAGCAATTGTGGGGAGCATGAGTGGGTCGGGGGAGGCCTTGAGTGGTCTTAAGCAGGCAGCCTGTTCCATCACTAACCCCCCCCCCCCCCGGCCTTCCCCATCCTGAGATACTTCATGTGCACTTAACAATGTTTGCATTCAGTTAGCGAATGTGTGGGCCAAAGCAGGAAGTTTTCATATTCATTTTACATGATTCACTCCAATTAATCCCCAGGTTACAAATGTAATAGCCAGGCTCCATTACATTCATAATTTGAGGACTATCTGTACTTGGCAGGAAATATTGGAATTTTAATTGAGAGATACTACTTAGCAGTGTTTTCCTAAGCAGTAATACTAACAGTGGCTTTTTGTGGCCTTTGCCATTTACAAATTATATTATTCTGCTTTTCATTGGAGGGAAATGGAATATCCCAGATAAATCTAAATTGTCTTCTTATTCATGTAATAAGAATCGCTGGTTTAAACTGCGCTATTTTAATCCACCTTTTTACAGTATAACCAATTTGAAAATTTTGCCATGGTAGTTCTAATTTTTGTATACTTTCCAATGGAAGAAAATGACTATCTTTGCAAAGAAATGTTCTTGTGTAGCCTTCTTCTCCATTGCGCACCTTAGAGAGAAGTACAGATTGATTTAGAATGTCTATCCTTAGCTGCTGACTTTCTTCATGAACTAACATAAATTTCTCTTACATAATTCTAAGGCCAAATGAAGAATGTTCTAATAGCTACATTCTTGGTATATATTGTTATATACACGGAGACTGTCCGCATGATTAGGCATCTACTCACTAATAAGTTCTCACATCTTATGGTTGTGTATTTCCAGTGATATCTTGTGGCCTATAACAAAAATGCAAGAAATGGCATTCCACTTAATAGAATGGAAAGTCTTACAGTTCATATATTTGTTGGATCCTGACATAATTGTGATAAGGAATTTCCTGTATTAGAAATAACTGATGCAGAAATGTCTCTTTGTATTAGATTTAAAGATAACTTAATGCAATTCGCAGAATTTTTAAAGAGTTTATAAGCTTTATAGAGAGTGTTGTTGGTTCTTTAAAATAGGTGGTTATTGGTTTCTTTTCATATTTGCATTCTGACAAGATGACAGAAATTCTCACAGTTATCTTTTTTCTCTGTTATTTGTAATATTTAGATGAGAATTATGACATTGTAACTATAGGAGCACCAGCAGCTCACTGCCAGGCCTTTAAATCTGGAGGTCTCCGGAAAAAGTTACATAAATTTGAAGATGCAAAGAAACAGTAAGTGGCATGTTGAATGCACACCCTTTTTGTGACTAGTTTTGTAAAACAAACAAAAACAAAAACAGAATGCCATTCCTTCTTTTCTCTTTTATCCACACAGAAATTTTCAACCAAATCGCAATTAGATATTACATGATTTGATGTTTTTATGTTTTGTTTGTTTATGTTTGTTTTAAAAACCAATAATTTTTTTTTAAAAAGAGACATTTTCAACCAAATAGCAATTAGAGATTCTTTATGTGAAGAATTTAGAAGAATGATTTCCATTTTTAAATTAATCAATGTATTTCTGATTTTAGTAGATTTTTCCTATTTAATCACATATCAAAGCTTATTAATCATGCATTGGTTAGAGACTTCCCTTGAAAATTTGTGCAAGATTTTTTTTTATGAGAGTAGCTGAATTTTGAAAGAGGTAGTTCCTTCCAGATCCCTCTCTGTTCCTGGTGCTGTTGTTTCCACCCCCCTCCTCAATTTGAAGTTCTTTTGGGTCACCATCTCGAGGGGGAAACACCTTGTTGACCTTGTCTGAATTTAGTTCGCTTTTTAGTATTTGGATGGGAGAATAGCCAGAAAATACCAGACTGTAAGCTAGACGGGGATTTTTTTTTAAGAGAAACATTTTTGAAGAAGTTTAAACAATTATTCTGTGTAGCTTCAAGCAAATTAGATGGATTATAGCCGAATTCAGTAACATTGCTTTTTTACTATGTTACTTATTCAAGAGCAGAAATAACACTTCTCTCCTTTTTTGCTATTGAGATGAATGATTCCATTTTTATTTATTTTGTTTTTACAATTTGGAGGTCTGGTGATTCTGGGTGGCTGTGATGACCCAGGGTTGGATACAAAGCAAACACAGTCACAGAAAACAGGTGAAGCCCCTTTTATTCCTTCAGTTTGCTTCCAAGCTCCGAATATCTTTGATGGAAGATAAAAAAACCTCCCACACAGTTACACGAAGAAGGAAAAAAGCAACACAAACTAGGCAAGATAAGGGATGAAGGATGTCACAGATAACACCACACACTGGGAAGGACGCCAAACTCAGAGAGGAACTAGTACGCAGGTCCAAACTCTTATTCAGTTGTCACACCTGCAGCCCATGAAGAGGATCAAGGCCCTCTCCTCCTGAGGAGACCACGTCTCTCCCTTATCCTCTCCTCCCTGCGTGCCCTAGGATGGATAGGGGATGGGCCTGGGTCCTCCTCTGACTGCTCAGCTGGCCTCTGCCCTTCCCCAGCCTCCTCCACAACCTCCGGAGCCACACTTCCACTCCTCTCCCTCAGAGTCAGTCTCCACCAGGGGCATGACAGTGGCTTACAATTAAAAAAGAACGAACACACTAAAAAGAAAAACATGTTCATGTTCATTTTGTTTACACGGTTCTGATCCTGTGACCTGCTCCCGACACAAACTATAGTGTAAAACAGAAACAATATATGCCCATATGGAAAGAGAGGTGTGCAATCAGGTGTTATGAAATGTATAAAGCATTCCTATATGATGTTACCCAGAGGTGATGGCTCTAGTAGTCAAAGCCATAGAAGGAGAAGGAGGTCAAGTAGATAACCTTAATAGTTGGGAAGCTTTCATAACGGATTTTCATATATGAAATTATTTGAAACTTGAAAACACTCTCATGCAATTTCCCTACTTTCTAGATGGAAAGGAATTTAAAGGATACAGCAGTGGATCCAAAACAGATCACATGGATATTACTAGATCTTTCACAGATTTGAAATAAGTGCTAGTACTGCTGTTGCTGTGAGCAGAAGAATTAATTTATCCTTTAATTTTATCTTTTTGGATATCCGAGATTTTAACCAAACATGAGAACATGCGAACACTGGAACCACTAATCCTGTCAAACATTCGATAACCTGCAGATTCTGTTAAAGTTCAGGGTATCTTGGCTAAAGAAGGTTGAAGAAAAATATCCTGGAAGATTCTTAAAAGCTTAAATGTCCTATTGTATCATTAATATATCATTTTCTATTATTTTCAGGAGTAGAGTAATCCTGCCTTAGCTATATGGCCTTTATATTCTTAATTTAAAAACAGTGAATTCGCAAAAACAAAATGCTGCCAAATCAGATACAGTTTTCCATCCACAAAACTTGCCCAATAAACAATAATATTCTAAAGTTAGTAAGTCGCAATTAAATTTAGGCAGGCACCTCGTATCTGCACTTTATTTTAGTCTCATATCTTAAATCACTGCTTATTTTAGTCTGTGTTACTTGCATAACTTTTAATAATAGCTACAGAAAAAATATGTCATCTACCAGGCAATCAATCCATGGGTAAATTTTCCCTTAGAAGGACCATATTTAGAAAAATCACAATCTGCCTATTATTTGATCATGTTTCTTCAAGTAACTTGGTTGCCATATTAATTGCTTCTGTTAAAAATAATCAATATAGCTTTTTAGATAAGTTATGCAGATCTGTCTGCATATGTTGTCTTTTTGACATCTTGTAATATATATCATGTTCGCATTCCTGTGTTTACATTAGTAGGCAGTCTGACCATTTTTCATATCTAGTGAAACACTGATCTGAGATCAGTTTGTTCTTTATTATGATCAATGACCAGAATTCCACTTAAAAAGCTAAAAAATTTAAATTTAAAAATAAAAGTAGATAAACATAACTATAGCTACAGCAGGATTTACAAACAGTAAAAATGTAACTATGTCCAAAGAAACCTACATATTGATAGGCTAATAGCAATTGTACAAAATATAATTCTGAATATTTGTTTGAGATACAGAGGTCAGCATTTAACCATGGTGGAGGTTACAGGTTTACTGTTATATTTGTTCATTCTTCTTTTCATTTTTGTCTTGTATGTAATTCTTGTTTTGTTGGTTTTTTAAAATTCTGTAGTTTATATTTTATCTTTCGGGGGGAAAAGTAAAAATAAACTCTGAATAAAATGGTTATTTGGCTAATAAGGAGGGTATAAAATGTAACTCTTAAATGACCATGCATTTTTATGAAATAGAGATTCTGAAATTATATTTAACTGATTATGGTAGTGTCTTTTGACTATTCTACACTATTGTTTATTTGATTTGTTGCAATATATGCACTACTGGAATGCAGTGCACTTTTAATACTAAACACACCCTGTGTAAAGTACCGGTAAATTTTCCCTCAACTTTGGCAGCTTTAAGATCTGTGGACTTCAGCTCTCAGAATTCTCCAGCCACCCTGGGGAATTCTAGGAGTTGAAGTTCACCCATCTTAAAGATGCCAGGGATGAGAAATACTGGTGCAGGCCACAAGTTTGTTCTTTACCATTACAGACATCTCTTACAAAAATAGTCTCTTTGTGAGTTCTGGAAATTGCCCTTGCATTACTGAAACATCAATGTTTACATAAAAAAAATATTTACAAATAAAACACAGATATATTTCATGTTTCAGATTAAGGCACCAGCCCAGGCGTGCGAGGCCAATAAGTAGTGGTGGGGTGGGGCAGGAGGGGGCGGGGCAGGGTCAGCCAGAATTTTTACTACAGGTTTGCCCGAATCGGGCAGTCCTGGCTGAATCCCACCACTGGTTTCAGATATACCAGCTGTTTTTGAATGGCAATAAGAATGGCAATAAGAAATGCCATTAACTAGAACACGTGCCAACATTTTACTCCAGTTGACATGTTCTCTATTTAAAATCTTTTCTTAAATTCCTTCGATTTTGTGAAGAGATGCCTAGCATATAGCTGGCTTATTATATTTAGATAGAGTAACTAGGTAGTAATTGGCTTGCTTGGACCTACCACCCCTTTAATATTGGCTACTGAATTATTTTACCTTTGGAAGAACATCTTGACAGATTGAATACAGAACTAGGATCTCCATGTTATCTTTAATTTTAAAACTGTAGACACAGTTAGATCATTGGTGGTAGCTTTAATATTTATTTGTTGGAAAATGAAATTAAGATTCTCTGAAGGAATGGCAGAAAGGCAGTCAAATTCCCTTTGGGTCTGTGCTGAATGTCTCATAAAAATAGCTATGTGTTCTATCAGTCAGCTATACACTTTTCTGTGGAGTCTTATAACTTTCTAGGAGACATCTACCATTTTACATACTTTTTCTTTTCCTCATCTACTTCATACAAATACAGCATTATTAAGAAGTATTAAGCAACTAACATTTAATACCTAACATCATTTGGCTTTTGATATTTGCTAACAAAGGCTAATTTTCTTTTGGTTTCTTTTTTTTTAGCAGTTTTGAGGAAAGTTGGTGAGTTTTCTATTTCTGAGCTTGGTAGCACAGCTTTCTTCCTTTTCTAAAGCAGACAATGTATTAACAGGGTGCATTTTATTATTGCATCCTGACTTTGCTAATTTGCTTCATTAAATAAATGTTTATTGAGGTATTTCATAGGCATGAATTCATTATCTTAACCTGCATTGTTTACTTTATCAATGAACAGCTAACATTTAAAAACAACCTTTGGATTATACAAGACAATTTAGGAGACAATTGGAAATATTAAATGTATAACTGCTCATTGTAAAAAAAAAACACTAAAATAATCAAATAGTGTTTGACTACTTTTCCTTTTAGGAGAAAGAGAAAATAGTTCAATTGGGCTTAGTTTTAAGAAGTGTTTATTTGAAAAGGAGATAGTAGATACCAAGCTTATTTTGTTAAAAATTGCAGTGCTGAGGATCAAAATGCCTTCATGTTATTTCATCTAGCCTAGAAGCCAATTACCCTTATCATTCAGATATTTTTAGGTTCAGTGGTATGATGTTGCTAAAACATTTAACCACATTACCAAGTGTGCTTAGACATTAAAGGAAGTTCTATCAGCTATGTTTAGACTCTGGTGATTAAATATTTCTACTATTTGTCCTAGGGGTATGGCAAAGAGCCTAGCTGCAGTTTATCTGAATACATGCGTCTCCAAAGGCCGGTTTATAAATTTTGTGCACGCAAAATGGCTCATTTTTAAGGCAAGGGATCAGCTTTTATACAAGAGGTTTATATAGATTTGGATCAGATAGGAACTAAAACTTTAATCCATGCACATGAATTGATAGTTATACTTTCAAGCATTAGATAATTGGCCATTGTATCCATGGAACTTACAATGTTATGTTTGTAAAAATTGTGACCTTGGGTCTTTAATAGCAAAAGTTGGACTGCTTTAGAGTCTACTTAATCCTAAATTTAAAAAGAAATAAAATTTTACCTTTGGGGGGGAGATGGATTAAATTTTGTTTTCCAGTGAAAAGTCAGTGAAGAATGATAGCTGTTCATTTGGGAGAATGGTCATGAGAAGCTAATCGAATTATTTCCTTTGATTCCAGCAAAAGATTTACTTTGATTCTTTTTTGAGAATGAGTTTAACACAAATAATGCTGCATGTAGTTTGCTACTGCATATATATTGATTTTGCATGATGTCTCTCTTTCAAATAAGATGCATATATTGCTGTAACGGTTGCTAAAAATATTTAAAAGCCTGAGCTTTTAGACCTGACCTTAAGATAAACAATCTGTGTCACATTTTAAAGACAATTTTATAATAATTTTGAAGACCTTCTGAAAAATAAAAAAACATACTTTTTCTCTTTTTTCCTTTTTTTTATTACAGTTGTTTAAATCTTTTCCTCTAAAAATGTATTTTTCCAGACAGCTGAACAAAGCTTTGGTTAATAGCTTTTAAAGTATTAGCTAGATTTTTTCAAAGATAGATTTAAAGTTTGTTAGAAGGAAGAAATGTTGTTTCAAGATTCATACTATCAAAAACATTTTTGGACAATTCCCTGCATCAATTTTACACTGGAAGCTGATTCTGAAAATTTACATTGTTTCTGAAGCATTGTTTTATGCAAAATGAAAACATTCTGTTAAATAAATCTGTTTTGCTGTGAATGAATCAGGCAACTGGTAATCTGAAATTTGCAGTGGGACACTGGAAGGAAGCTGTCTGCCAAGAGAAAGGAATTAGACTCCCATTTTTACCTTTCCAGGAACATTGTGTGGACTACTAAATTGATGGCTCTCCAACAACAATAGATGGTAGACCATATATCTGGATTTACAAAAACAAATCCAGATATACGGAAGTGGAAGGGAAGTCAAGTAGTTAGGCCTTACTATAAATCCATCTTGAGTTACATTTGGCTTACCTTGTCATCTAAAATAGTGCAAATCTGGGTTCATTAAGCAAGATTCTGACATTGGCAAGAAAGTTCAAAACAAAGCTATCTGAAACTTCAATCATCTTGAACAATTTACATGATTGTGGAAAAGATAATATACCAGTAGTATTTTCTAAGCTGAATCTGGAAATCTTTGAAGGCAAATGGATTGGTTATCCATTTGAATGAATAAATTATACTTGGGCAAGGAATCCGATTAACAGGAATAATTCTGTTACTGCTGCATGTTTGATTGGCAGTTTTCTGTTTCTTGTGTGGCTTCTAAATAATCACATGGCATGTTTGATAAATACATCTTGTTCAAAAGCTTTCATCATGTGCATCTCAAGATAATTTGAATAAGATGGTTGCAATATAAATAGATTGTCAGTCTTTGTACTTGGTGGCTCAATAGTTAGAACTAGATCCCAAACCAATATCTTCCACTATTTTTCTAAAATTACTCTTTTTCCCCCCTTGTCAGCACTGCAACCAATTCCCAGTCTATAATATACATACCACAAGATATTATTCGAGCAAAGGAGATTATTGCACAGATCAATATCCTGAAAACTCAAGTTAGTTACTATGCAGAAAGACTTTCGAGAGCTGCCAAGGATAAATCATCAAATGGACTTGAGAGAACACTTGCCATTTTGGCAGATAAGGTAGGGGATTTGTTCACCCTCCCTTATGTACCATTGAGATCCCTCTCTAACTTAATATTACCTGAATATTCTTATATTGTAATAATAACAAAACATTTCACGGTTTTGAATTTCCTTCTCTGTAGGCCTGCCAAAATCTGAGAATTCTGAAAGGACTACAAGAACTTATGTTTATTTGGTCTATATTTAATGGTATTTAATATATTTAATGAGCCCTAAAACTCTCTGACCTCAGCATATAAGATTATTGTATTTTATTACACTTTATCTAATACATCCCATTCTGCTTTAAGTCCTGCTGCTATAGCAGACTAGACTTGATTGATAATTTTCTCAAGTAATGGTATCTATCTCAGCGTTGACTGCTTCCTGCTAATCATGTTATTTTTCCTTGCTGTACTATAACTACGTTCACATGACACTAAATCCAGTTTCTTTTAACAAATAGGCTATAATTGGTGGGCTCCATACAGCATATTATCAAATGCAGGTTTTATACCACAATGTCTAGGATTACAGAACATATTAAGCTAAGAAAGATTATTCTTAGTGTGCTGTATGAATCAATTCATTGAATGCAAATTGAAATTAAATTCCAAGTGAAATGCTATAGAAATAGTTATAAAATAAACACCATAGAATATGTTTTTCTAAGATAAATTCTATGGGGACCTGTGTTCTCAATTGGCACTATAATGGAAAGATTGCCTGTCTGATCAGCAGTACTCACACCACTAATCACATTAAAAAATGTCTTAGCCATTTTTTAGTATCCTAAAATAACCTTTTTATTTGTTAAGTTTTGTGCCTTAGCCATATCATGTCCAGATTTGTTAAGAAAAGAGTACCTTATGTTAAACTGTTTTTTTTTAAATTGGATTGTTACTGAGTTTGTTTACTGTACTTTGGTAGTGCTGGACTGGACAGTAATAAAGAATGATGTTATAAAATAGACATTGTTTACAAATATTGTGTGTCATCTTTATCATTTCTAGACCCGGCAGCTTGTCACTGTCTGTGACTGCAAGCTGTTGGCAAATTCAATTCATGCCCTCAATGCTGCAAGACCGGACTATATAGCTTCAAAGGCTTCTCCAACATCTACAGAAGGAGAACAAGTGGTGCTAAGAAATGACCAAGATACTTTGGTGGCCAGGTGGGCAGGAAGAAATAGCCGTTCTTCTCTACAGGTGGACTGGCATGAAGAAGAGTGGGTAGGCTGTTATTTTAAAATTCCATTCCTATACTACAGTGAATCTTAATTCAGACAATTATCTTTTTGTAAAATTACAGCTGCCATGTATTTGGTCATGTTTTGTGGGTTAGGGACTATGTTTAAAACATTTTGAATGAAGAAAGGCATGGTAGGCATTAAAGGTGCACAGTGAAATTCATTTTTGCATCTTTTTTTCTTTGTGCTATAAATACAGTGCCCATATTCTCTTTTAAAAAATTAAGGACAAATCTGAAGAGAGACTCTGAAAGAGGTTCTCAAGGATAAGAGAAATAAGTATTTAGATTTATAATTTTGCTTTACAAAGGGAAATTCAAGAACAAAACCAAGAATATAATTGTTAAATAAATCCAAAGACAGTTTTCTTAAACAATGGTCTGTCCTTTATAAGAAAGGATAATGATCACTTTAGTTATAAATGATGTTAAGCCTGTTTTAGAGCCTGTGTCCCAATTGTCATGTTTCCATTTTAAAAAATGGTAAAAATCCATGCACCCAATTGTGGCAATCATTTTTGGAAGGTGCTTTGATGCTTCTGGAGCCCTTTGTTTATTAATTCCAGCAGAATCTCTACAGATTATACTAAGTCATTATCTGATTTAAGTGTAGTTTGTGAAATAAATAGCTAAGTTCATATATTGAACCTAAGAAGCACAACAGCTGAGGTTGTGCAACTCTTGCAATAAACAAGTGACATGGTGATTTAAAGCAATCTGTGAACCCAGATACTGAGTGTTCATTTCTTTTTCTCTACTTCTGATTCTATTTTTTGAGTGGCCAGTAAAAATGGAGCAGCTAAATTTATTTATTCATTAAATTTATTTGCTGCCTATCTTGCTATGGAGTTATTCTAGGTATCTGTCAACTCATAAAATATTTCTGTGGTCTAATCCTGACAGTATCTTGTAGATGTGATGATTTCCCAATTATTAATTGGAAAGTAGTAAATGAACTGATAGTCTTTGCAGTTTTGTCCAGAAGGAAATAATATTATGTTACCTATTGCAGAGGTGGTATTCAGCCAGTTCGGACGAACCAGTAATGGAAATTTTGAGTAGTTCGGAGAACCAGCAAATGCCACCTGTGGCTGGCCCTGTCCACCTGCCCCCACCCTTGCACTTTCCTGTCCTAAATTCCCTTGTTTTTTTAGCTCAGCTGATTCGTGCGGCAGAGCGCAGTGCCTCAGCTAAGCTAAAAAACCCTCACCAGCACTGACACCAAGGGCGGTCTTTGAGTGCTGCGCTGCGTGAAGTGCGCTCTCAGAACCAATCACGGGCTGTCCCCGCCCACTCCACCTGAGAGAAACAGCAATAGGCTGCTGCTTCTCTGTGCTGCAGTGCTTTCCGGATGGGACTTAGAGGACCCAAAGTGGCGGCTCACAGCTACTCACAAGATGCTCTCCCAGCAAGAGCAGCAGCGCAGAGAAGCAGCTGCTGCCCTGGAGACCAAAGATGGAAGGGAGCAGGCCCCGAAAGGCTGCTCGGTCGAGCCTCGCTGCGAAGCAAAAGCCGTACATATGTGGAGACCTTGCACGTGTATATGCATGGAAGCTACGCGCACGCTACCATTTTTGGTGAACCGGTTGTGGGATTATTTGAAACCCACCACTGCCCTATTGCCCAATTAGATGGAAATGTGTAGTATGTTTCTTTATTTCCTTTCAAGCTATGTACATGCTTTCTATGAATTATTGAAAGTAGTGAAAATAGTGTTTTCAAAATATTATTTCAATATACTTCTTTCTTTAGGCTTTTTCATTATATTGGGCACACCAGTATGTCATTGGTCCCTTTCTTTCTGTTTGTTCCTTCCCAGGAAAAAGTCTGGGTGAATGTTGATAAAAGTCTTGAATGCATTATCCAGAGGGTTGACAAGCTTCTCCAGAAAGAACGATTACAAAGTGATAGCTGTGAAGATGTTTTCCTGTGTGAAGTCAGCTGTTCTAGCAAGAAAGGTAAACGAGATACCCGTGCATACTGGATAAAGCCAGAGACCTTAAATGAAATCATCTCATCTTCATCATCCCTACCATCATCTTCATCCATTTCATCCTCTGCATGCCATTTTCCCAGAATCACAAGTGCGTATGACAGCCATGGCTTCTTGCTGTTGCCATTTTGTTCTGCTTTGTTGCATTTCTTAGCTCTTCCTTAATCATGATCCATGTATTGTAAGCATTAGTCGGTATACTAGGAACATTCATTTAACAGTAAGGTCCCAGGAATGAGAGAACCATGGTCTTTTTGCTGTATTTCCATTTTGAATTTTCAGAGCGTTTCCTAAAAAGATTAAGCTTTTCCTAAAAATGGTTAAATATGGAGTGCTTCTAATCGCTCTCCAAAAAGCTATAGTAGAAGTTAGATTGTCTATGGGGATTCTTAATTATCCAGATCATGGTTGTCCCAAAGGTACTTTTTCCAAAGGTGCTTTTTCTAGTTTTTCTTTCTTTAAAAACATTTCACTTCTCATTCAAGAAACTTCTTCTATTCAGAAGTTCAGAACTGAAGAAGCTTCTTGGATGAGAAGTGAAATGTTTTCAAAGGAAAGAAACCCCAAGAAAATCCAATTGCCTTTTGGAAAAAGTATCTTTGGGAACGGAAGCTAGATTATTTTATCAGAAATACATAATATGGTGCTTGTAGGCACCACTGTGCCTGTAGACATTTATATTTTCTCCTGCCAAGTTCCATTCCATGCCTTAATTTATTTTCTTTATATTCTTGACATTAAAAAGATTAAGAACTCTAGTTTCAGTATTTATAAAAATGTCTGAGAGCCCTGCATATACCTGAAGATAGAAAAATTGCCCAGTGATATTTTCAGAAGTAAGTTTATCTCCTAATTAAGAAATCAATGGATGATTTCAAATTGGTTGATATTTTAGGATACTTTCATATGATTATATTATATGGCATGCCTTCTATGAGAAAAGAATCTAAAAGATAGGCTGGTATTTCATTCCCTCTATTGCGGATGGAAGTAAGACTGGTTTGTTTCAAGCCATCTAGTAAATACTTGGTTAAGTGAAGACCTCTAGTGTTGCAATATATTTCAGAGACCAGAGGTATTCATGCTATACAACATGTATGTATGTATGTATGTATGTATGTATGTATGTATGTATGTATGTATTGCTATGCCTTTTCGGCAAGATGACCAAAGCAGCATAAAAGAAGTGAAAGTCATAAAAACATATATAGAAATATAAATTGTGCATGAAAGGAATAATCTTTTCTGTTCACAAAGACATTGTGGCTTGTAAATTGTGCTAGACCATTCTGGAGCAGAGCTTTGCAGTCTGGAAAAACAAAAACCTAGACCTTCTTGGTGATTCAGGGTTTGAGCTGAGAAAACTCCAGAGGAGTCTTAAAAAGCAAGTAGGGCAAGGCTGGTGCACCTTGCTTCTCTCTGCCCTCCCTTTCCATGTGGCCTAGACACCTGTCCCTCCAGTTTTCTTATCACCCCTTCCTTTCCCTACTTCCATTTAGCTGTGTAACCCCACCATGCTTTATGACTCCAACTGGCTATGCTTCGTCTGTGACCTCCCATCTTCCTGGGCCTTCTTTCCACTTGTCTCCCGCTGCTATTTAGACAGCACCAGCATTACAAAACCAACCACTCCAATTGTCCTTTCCCATCTCCCCACATCTTGTTATATAACCCCTTCCTCACCATTGTGAGGATCAATTTGTCTACCCTTTCCTGTCACATTTCTGTGCTTTCCTGTCTTCTATCTCCTTTTGACTGCTGCTATGCCACCAAGGACTTTCCCTTCATTCTCCCCACTCTAAAACACTTCTACCTGCAACACATGTTAGGGGCATGTAGAACTCAAAATATGCAGGGTCTGTATCTATACAAAGATGAAATAAATGTTTTGTTCATTGGATGGTTTGTCCACAGAATGTATTGGGCATCAATCATAAAAAATCACAGTAACATGAAACCATTTAAAAATCTGGTTGCAGTAATTCTACAGATCTCCACAGAGTCCAAACAAATTCATAGTGGGAAAAGCAATTCGTTCCAATTATAACAGCTTCAGGCCTGTTACAGGCCAAAATTATTGTCTTGTAGGTATTTGGCCTTTTTGGACATGTACAGTACAGGATATGAATGTGGTTTTTCTCACATTTGGAAGAGGAACATTATTGCAGTCCACAGGGCTGGATTTGTTTGTGAGTGTTGTAACTCTAATCTCACTCAAGACTCATTCTAGAATGGAAACTACCATCTAAGTATTTCTTTAATTAATTTGATTTTTTAAGTGAGCCTTCCTTGAGATTTGCAGACAAACTTCTGAAATTCCCCCACCAAACATGGCTCTTGAATCTATTTGCTGGGTGTTACGGGACTTGAAATTGAAGATAATTACAAGGCACCACTTTGGGAAAGACTATTTTAGGTCAATACTATGTATAGCAGTTTCAAATATAGGTATCATGCAAATACAGATCATTGTATTCAGGGGTGGGGTTCAAATTTCTTAACAATCGGTTCTGTGGGCGTGGCCTAAATTGTGGGTGTGGCTTGGTAGTCATGTGACAGGGTAAGTGTGGCTCGCTGGCTGGGCATGGCTTGATGGTCATGTGACTGGTGGGCGTGGCTTGTATGTAAATATTGTAAATATTTATGTAAATATTGAATTTTTTTATAAAAAAGAGCAACTTTTACCCAAAATCAGGCAAAACAGACAGGCACATTGAGTTGCTCACAGAATCACAGATTCACTCAGATATCTACCTTTATGCAATCTATTGCCTAAGTTTGCACTGAAAAATAGAAGCTTCAGCCCTAAGGAAGGTTCAGCTCTGCTTTTAGATCAGCTAGAAAGCAAGAAATCAACAATTTCCTGCTTTCTACCTAATTTAAATATCCCATCACAGCTGATAGTCGGAACAGCTGATGGCCGGGGGGAAAAAAGGAAAAATTGGAACTGACAAAAATTAGGCAAAGGCACAAGGCAGGCAAGTTGGATGGCACGCATGCCAGTTAAGGAGTGAGTGGGCGGGGAGGGGCCAGCCAGTGGCGCGATTTGCTGGTTCTCCGAACTGCGTAGAATCGTAACAATCGGTTCTTTTTTTTTTTTTTTTTGAACAAATTTTATTAATTTTTAAAGACATACAAAACAAAACATAAGAACATAAAACCTCTTTTCTGAAAGTTATTTGTAAATTTTAAACAAATAAAACATTTTATACATCATTAAGACATCTCCTTATAAACACATAGATATCCTTTCAAATTCCTCATTATTTCTCCCTATACTTTTATTCAATTATATTTCTTTTCTATATTTATCTGTTTTATATGTTTTTATTCACTATACTTATTTTCCCTTTCTGGCTTGCTTTATTCTCTTCTATCTTTTATTCTCCATTGTCCTTTCCATTCCTCCAAGGTTTTATTAGCTCAATCAATCATAAACACACAAAAACACAAAACATAGAAACATAAAAAACCTCTTTTCTGAAAGTTGCTTAGTCCCGGGTTACAACTCTTCGTACAGACACAAATTCAAATTCATATTCATTTTATATACCATTCCATATCTTATTAGCATTTTCAATTTTCTATATAGCTTCTCCTCTCTTTTAAATTTTCTTAATTTTAATTTTATTTTATTTTATTTATCTCATCTCAATTCGAATCATAATATTTATTATTCTTTGTCTGTTCTATTTCCAGCTATCCATTTATCTTTCTTCTTTGAAGAAAACTTCTCCTGTACACTAATTGGAGTATGACGCCTTTATCTCTTTCCCCTACATTTATAATACTTAATATAGAATACATAGCTTACATTGGGATTCTGTTTGGTACATTCTAAAATTATATAATATTATCAATACCAATACAAATCTATTCATTAATATTAATATTCATTTATATCTTAAACACTTAGCACATTACTTTTCAATTAAATCACATACTTTTATGGGAGCACCTACTTTCCATAATTATTCCCCCCCCCCCACATCACATATCTTAAATCATTGTTTCATTAAAGTGTTCCCCCTTTCTTGACAAATTTTCACTAAATTATACTAAATATTTTATCACATTTTAAATTGCATATTGTTTCCAATTTTCTATGATTATTTCTAAGTACAAATGTAAAAATACAATCTTGTGTACCTTTCCAGAATCCCTTTTTCAATAAATTTTACCCATTATCTCTAAAAGACTTTTGTTTCTTTGCATCTTGCTCCCCACCATTGAGGCTTCTCGTCCCTTCCTTTCTCCCTTGCTTATTCTTCTTGTCCTCTTTACCCCCTTGTCTCTCCACCTCCCTTTTATTCTGCTTTCCTCCTTTCTGTTGTTTTCTAGCATAGTATCCCCTTTTCACCTTATTCTTCTCTTTTTTGGTTATTTTTCCAAGTCTTAAAGTCTTCTTTTCCTTTTTTTCTTTCTCCTTTCCTTCCCCAACCAAAGTCACTTGTTCATCAAAAATGGCTTCTTCTTTGTCCCAGTCATCCTGTTGCGCATTCAGCTTTACATAAGTACAAACCGCCATTTCTAAAAATTGAAAAAGAGTGCCAAGAGAATCCTTCCCTTCTTGCTTTTCTTTTTCATATTTTTGGTATACAAGTTTCAATCCATCCACAAGTGATGCCATTGTAGAGAGAAAAAGTTTTTCCAAACAACCACCCAAGTGCTTTTAATCAGAGATAATTCTCAGAAGTTCCAAAATCACCAAGCAATCCAAACAAGCTGTTTCTTTTAAATACTTTCTCCTTCACTTTCTCTTTCTGGGGTTAAAGTTTAGTCACAAAGTTCCATTTAAAATATATCTTTTAGAAGTCTTATTAATGTTTAATAACTCTTTAGAGTTCTAGGCAATCTTCTCCTTATTTTCAAGTTCTGCTCCAATTTTTTTTCCCTCTCCCTTCCCACTCACAGCAAAAAAGATTCTTTGTTTTTTTTAAATGTTCAGAAATCCTTATCCCTTCAGCATTTAGTTACCTCCAATGCAGGTTTTCCGATTTCTCTTATGGTTCCATCCGCTGTCACGTTAGCAAGGAGAGTGAAAAGAAAAAAAAACTTTCCCTTTTAGAGTTCCATTCGCCGCTTGTAACTCTCTCTGGAAACAATGTATTTTTAGCAACTTTCAAAATTCCAGGGTACTTTCCCTTGCTTTGTCCCGGTCAAAAACCACTTTCACAGCTCTTCCAACTTTCTTCCTCCTGCACAATCTTGTCCGGCTGCAGGTTTTTCGTGGCGGCCATTACTGACCGCCGCTCCTCCGCCTTGGGAAAAGGGGGTTTTGCCGGCTGGGGAGGGGGTCTGCGACACCCCCAAACCCCTATCCGGATCCCCCCTGTCTTCAGCTGCCTCTACGGGGCAGCTATATCCCCCAGATCCAAGCGGATCGGGGGAACCTTGGCAGTGAGCGCAGCAGGGATCGCGCAGTATTGCGAATCCCTGCCGCCGCCGCACCCTTGCAAACCGGAAGTCCCGAAGCAACAATCGGTTCTATAGAACCAGTCCAACCAGGTAGAATCCCACTCCTGATTGTATTCAAAATCCCTGATCAAAGATACTGATCTGAAATTCCCAGACTTTGAAAATGTTTCAAAAATCGATGTGAAGATCTCCAAATATATCATATGCATGGAGACTTAAGAATATTGCTGAGCTGCAAGAGTACTGCAAGGGAGAATAGAGAAAATCCAAAGAGAAACAAATGCACATAAAAACTAAATATATACTTAAATTTGCAGAAGTATGCCATGTCTAATTTTGTACTGGGTAGGTAGAGGCTGTATCAACTTTTGCTTCCTTAGAGATTCTCTGAAACATGCAGTTTGTTCAGAGGTATTTAATCTTTTTCATCCAAACCTATCTGGGAAACCTGATTAAATCATATTTTAAACACATTTAAAGATCCATCCATTTATAGCACTTGTATGTTCATTACAAAAACTCTAGTATTATTCTAAAGTTGTGGTCATCTGCAAATCACCTTCCTAATTGCTGGTCATGTTCTATGAGTAGTGCAGGGTATAGAATATGAATAATACATAACATTATATATAAATATGTTTCAAAATGTAGAGTAAGAATGTATTGTATTCCATTTTGAAATAATTTTTAAAATACCTATAGTCTTATATTGTCTCTTCATTATGTTTCCTTACAACAGTTTTTGTGTTTGTAATTTCACAATAAATTATTAGTCAAAATAGAAAAATGACATTATTTGAAATAACTGAGATGCCTCTTTTAATTTATTATTATAGAACAGGATATGTATGGTTTGTTCAGAATTCTATAAGTTTTTATATGTTATTAAGCATTAGCAGAATGGAAGAATGAATAATGTATTATCTATGGAATAGTGTATTAATGTGCAAATAGCTATTATATTAAAATTTTAATATACATTCTGATTCTATTGTGAAGCTGTGCAAAATATAGGCATAATCTGTTGATGGCATCAGGTTAATAAAGACAATTTCTAAGAAGAATCTCATATATCAGATGGGTAATTAGAAAAAGAATCCCACCCAACTAGAGCAATATCATGTATATAGTATTAGGTCATGGAATATTTTTACATCAAATATTTTCTGACACTGCCCTGTTTGATAACCATTGAAATAATGGATGTAGTCAATGTCACATTTATACTAATGTGTATAAAAATTGAAAGTTTCCCCCCAATAAATATTTTAAACTATAATCAATGCATACTAAAATATTAGAGTAACATCACATGCTAAGCTAGGATATTGTTTAACTTGATATTTACACAGCTGAAGTCATGGTAGGCAGTATTTATTTTAAAAACACACCAGTGAGAAGATTAGGAAGAGAATGCATAATCGTATTTTAAACCCTGTAGGATTTTTTTAAAGTGTGAATTTGCATAGAGGTGTAATGTTTATAATATGAAATTGTAAAAATCAGCATGCCGGCAGAACAATAAACATAGAAGTTTTTTAATGTTGCCTTATCCATACTATTTTTATTCTAGTTGAAGGTATGCTATAAAATTACAAAATTAAATTCAGCAGTTGGAACTAGACATAAACACATAGCTTTCGAACAATATTTTCCAATACTAAATGTATAATGCAATGTCACTTGTGGAATGTTTTCCTGCTCTAGCAAGTGACAGCTGAACTTTTATGCAATCACTTCATTAAAAACAAAACAAAAAAATATTCTCTTATGAGAGAAGATAATAAGATGCTGACCTTAATGTTCTTCCATCATATAAAGTTCCAGCCTGAATTTGCACTTATCCTCACTTCCATTCTCCATCCATACAATAACCCCAAGGAACTTGTCGTATAATATGTAGGTATCTGGGCATCTGTCTATCTATCTATCATGGTATAGAATGATATAATGGCTAAAGTGCTGGACTAGGAGTAGGGAGGCCCAGTTCCTATCTTCCTTAGGCACAGAAGCTGGCTAGGCCAGTCACTCAGCCCTGGACCCAGAAGTAAAAAACATTTCTTTACCAACCTGCACTGGACCAGTATAGTATATTATGATCCATTACCATCTATGAAAAGGTATTTCGTGGATTGATTCTGGTGGATTATTATCACTTAAATGTTAGCTTTTATTTTTTTGGCGTAAACTGATTTTAGACCTATGGAATCATAGTTCAAAAGTAAAGAAGAGGAGTCAGGGAAGTATGGTATATAATAGGAAAGTAAATTCTGCTGGACTTAAATTCCTCTGTTATTTGTATCAGAGTTTGGGACCTATTAATTGCCCACATTTTGAGACAAATATTTCAGCAAACTATAAATTAAAAAAAATCACTCAAACATTCATAAGTTAGAGTTGCCAGTATTAGAATGATGTAATTGACCTATGATTTGACAACATGCTAAACTTATAAAAATTTAGAAATTTTAAAAGTAGGTAGGGAAGAAACTAGAATAATAGTATTTTTATGAATGCACTTTAAGCACAGATTCTAGTTTGTCTGCAGCAAACTAACAGATTTTCCCTTTCACCATCCTCCTGCCAACTCTTTAAGTTGCTGATGTATACTTCTAATCCATCAATAAATTTGGTGTAGTGAGATTAACTATTATTAAAAAATTTAAAGACAGACATATAAGTTAAATAGTATTAATAAAGCTCCATAAATGTGTTTCTTGCTGAAAGTTGTAAACAATTTTTTAACATTGGAGAAGAATGTAAAACATCCGTAAAGGGTGGAAAAATGATGTGATGGATTGTCAGTTGTACTGTTACAGAGCCTGAATGAGGGCTATTTGAAATGAAATTGAATTTGCCCCTGAATTAACACTTCCGATAAATTTTGCATTCAATCTTTGGTTTCTGATGAGTTTTCTTCACAAACACACATTTATTCTTTAAATTTTGAACTGTACACATTAAATATTTCAGGCGCACACCTTAAAAATGTCTTTGATGTATACTTGGATTATTTGGTACACCCAAAATAGTTGGTATTCTGCTATTTTATTTAGTGATTTCTAATGTAAGCCATGAAGCTGATGGCTCAAACTCTGTAGGGTGTATGAGATACGGCCCAATATGATACATCTGTATTTTTCCTAGTGATTGGTAGCACAGGGATTTTGGTCTACCTACTAGCAGTGTAGTGTGTTTTAAGCAGAAGAGGATCTTGAAAGAGTGCATGTCAGTTATGAATGAGCTTATTCAAACAATGGACAAGGCTAGAAGCAACATCAGTTGAGTCACCTATTTTCTGTTTTTCTCACCTCCCCATTTTTCCCACTCTATGCTAATTCTCTCCTTTCTTCTCCTTTGCCTTTTCCTATAGAGCACTTGTGATATATTGTTCTTGGATTTTTTTTGCAGAAGGCTTTTGAGAAAAGTTTCAGGAAATGTGCATCCCTATAGTCATAGATGGCCCATTCCTGTCTAAATTGATACCCCTCTCCAAATATTTGAGACTGCTTGTGCTAAGCATTTCAGTTGCTTATCTTTAAAATGTGTTGCTGCCCCTTAATCATGCATGTTACACCTCCATTTTTATGCAGATTGCAGTCCTACTCCTGAAGAATCCAACCCAGGTATGTATATTTTCCCCTCCATTCATTGTATTTGTACTTAAAAAACTCAGGGATTCTCTTAATCTAATACTAATATATTTTGCTGATTGTAAATTTCCTACTACATTGACTTTGGGGGGGGGAGAGAGAGCCTTTCTCACAAAATAAACTGGATAATAGTATCTTGAGTTCATGATCACTCTAAGTCTAAACTATCTGTCTATCTATCATCATGTTTGAACACAGCTGATAGACCATATTTGGTCTTGTGACTGAGATATGTGCAGTCTTGGGATTCTTAGATGCCTTCAAGAGATTTTAAATTGTACTTAAAAGCCAAATACATAAACATACAGAAGTGCCTTGCTTGTCTCTGCTCTCTCTTCTCTTTTCTGACCTGTAGGTGAATGGAGTGAGGCTCTTTATCCTCTGCTAACAACGCTCACGGACTGTGTGGCCATGATGAGTGACAAAGCAAAGAAAGCAATGGTCTTTCTTTTAATGCAGGACAGTGCCCCCACCATAGCTCTTTGCTTAAGCCTTCAGTACCGGAGGGATGTGGTCTTTTGCCAAACTGTAAGCAAAAACATGGAATGTATGTTTTGGACTTTGGGATTTGTGCTTGGAGGATTAATATTGAAAACAGTGATTATGCCCAAAAGGGATAGTGATTACCTAGAGCACTTTAGCAATTTTGGAACCAGATAACTGCAGTGATAAACATTTGGGATAGTTAAAACATCCATGTGTCCTTTATTATAAAGGACAGAACTTTATAATAAGAAAGCTGTATTTTAGACTTATTTTTTCAAAAACCCTCTTTTGTCTTTTATAGCAGTAGCATTTAGACATATATAGTGCTTCATAGTGCTTTACAAGCATACTCTGAGCAGTTTACAATATCAGTATATTTCCCCCAACAATCTGGGTCCTCATTTTACCTATCTCAGAAGGATGGAAGGCTGATTCAACCTCAAGCTGATCAAGATCAAATTCCAAGCCGTAGCCAGAGTTTGTCTGCAATACTGCATTCTAACCACTGTGCCATCTCTTTTTTTGCTCATTTAACTTCTACTATATAAATGGTACCCTTTAATGCATAATCTTTCATATTCATGTGAAAAATATGGCAATTGAATTGTCTCTTTAAAATAAATGTACGTATAATGTTTAATATGAGATGTTTTTATTAGAGTGTGCATCTTTGTACAATTTCACTTGGTTTTGCTATTGCATTTTCCTTTGTAAAGCAAAGTTATAAAAATAAACAATTTTTTTATCTTTACAAACTTCTTTCATATTTGCCCCATTTTCAGATTTCACCTTTATTGTTTCCAAAAAATATGGTCATTGTTGGGATATCACATATTGGCCTGCTTTTGAAACTGTTCTGAAGCCTTGGTGCAAGATTATTACATGCAGTATTAAATATACCAAATATATATATAGTATACCAAATAGATAGAACTAACCAGAAAATTTTAAAATAATGGCACTGAGTTCTAATCTGCTTCAATCAGAACTTGAAGTGATGGCATGGACATTTGGGAATTATATACCTAAAGGGATGCTAGGCCATTTGGAGATTTGACCTTGGGGTTATCCTTTTAGAAGTTGTTAATTTGGGATACCAGCACTGAGTGGTGATACTCTACCCATAGAATACCCTATTACTTCCTGATATCCATTTACAATTTTGACAAAGTTGACCAAATGCTGAGAGTATTCAGTCAGTTTTCAGTAATATTAAGTATGAGGCAGACAAGCTTTTAACAATCATTTACAAATCCATTAAAACGTAACTTAATAAAATTATGCTGACTGCAAAGGTTAGATAGGTATTTGTGCTGAGTTTCAAATGGTTGCACAGGTGAATTGAATCTCCCACTTCTGAATCTCCCAAAGCAGTTACTAGATGCACTGAGGGATGAACATAACAAAAAATGCAATAAAACTGATTGTGTGAAAAACAATTGCAATTCTGTCTTCAGGTTGCAGTGGAAAGCTAATGACCTTTAAGATTCATCCATTCTGAAGCAATCTGCCATATTGGCTGAGTAAGCTTGAGAAACCTTGGCAAGTATCTTCAATTATTTTCTTTTTGTATTCTTTCATGCAGCTTACAGCCCTGATCTGTGGTTTCATTATCAAACTGAGGAATTGCCTGCATGATAATGGATTCCTGAGGCAGCTGTATACCATTGGTCTGCTGGCCCAATTTGAAAGCCTTTTAAGTACTTACGGTAAAGATCATTGCATGGGGAAAGCATGCAGAGTTATTAATTCCTTGAAGTGTTACACTTAATGAAATATGTGTAGATAATGGAGGTCTTTTTATTCAAACACAAAAAGGCTCTAAGTAGGCATGTAAAAATTCAAGTAGAAAAATAGGGACCGCTTTGGTGGGAAGGTAACAGCGTTCCGTGCGCCTTCAGTGTTTAGTCATGCTGGCCACATGACCATGGAGACGTCTTCGGACAGCGCTGGTTCTCCGGCTTTGTAAAGGAGATGAGCACTGCCCCCTAGAGCCGGAAAGCATGTTTGTGGGAGGGGAACCTTTACCTTTTAGGCTTAGAATCAAACCATGAAATACAATTTAATGTTAAATCAGTCAACAGAATCCAATGCAGCTAAAAATAAAAAATGCTTGCAATGATTACAGGGTCCAAATTCAGAAACTGTGTAATGAGCGTGGTGTGTACTGATAAGTTCTTCAAGCAACAGAAGAGCAATTTTACAAGAGTAGTTCAGCAGGACGGACAAAACATTATGTTGGCGTGCACTTAAATATTTGGATTTGTTGAAATTAATTTTATTTGGATTGTGTTATCTCAAACAATGGCAACTCTTTCTAGCTGAAAGCCTTGGCAAAATGGAGACGTTAAAGTTGAAATGTCAATCCAAACTTACAAGTGATTATGGGAATTAGATTTATTTATTTATTTATTAAATTTATATGCTGCTGATCTCAATAACTGAAGCAATTCTCAGTGGCTTAATTTCTGCTTATGGCACGAACTGCAAATCTCTGCAAGTCTGAGAGGAATGCCTCCATGTTAGCTATCAGTGCAGTGGCAGCTTTATTGTATTTATTTATTTATTAAGTGTATATGCCACTCATCTCACTATTGATGAAACTGGGGGCTCCTATTAGTATGAGGATGTGATGTTGGAGCCAAAAGCATGGCTAGTTCCTGTTACACTGTAGGATTGTTGTATTGCAATTAGTGTGAACAGCCATCTTAGCTCATCCTTATCCAGGTTCAGAAGCTAAGCAGTTCAAACTTGGTTAGTGCTTGGAGAGATACTTTGGGGTTCCATGAAGACAGGTTTTTCCGCAGACAGGAGGGAGCGTGGTTTCGTGTGCTGCCTGCATCTCGTGGATGGGGCTTCACTTGTTTGCACGGTCCGGCTACTGGCATGCTGTGAATTGGTACCGGTCCATGGACTGGGGATTGGGGACCCCTGCTTTAGGGAATTCCAGAGATACAAGTTAACTAAGAAATTGAAAAGACATTATCTCCTGTTTTAAGAAAAATAAACAAACTTATTCAAGATCACTGGGGCTTCATCTTGTCTTGAAGAAGACTATTTTATAATAGCTGGCAATAAATGTAAACATATATTTTCTAATCATATTAATATTATCTTCATTTTTTCATTTAGGAGAAGAATTGGCTATGCTAGAAGATATGAGTGTGGGAATAATGGACTTGAGAAATGTAACATTTAAAGTAACTCAGGCCACTTCCAGTGCATGTGCTGATATGCTGCCAGTCATTACAGGAAATCGGTAAAAAATTAGAGTGGGAATGGAGAATGGTTGGGGAAGGGAAAGAAAGGGGAAATTTATTCCCTAATAAGGAACATTTTCGAACATGTGTTCATTAGTAGGTTGTTTATACCAATGTGTTACTCTTGTAAAGATGTAAACATAAATTGACCATCTGTTTTACTTATGTAAGATAAAATGCAAGCCACATTATCATTTTTTAAATTATGAATGAAGCTCTTGGATAAGGATTTGTAGAAGGAATAGATACATTTATTAGTACTGTATGCAAGAAAAGAACAAAAGTGGTTTGTTCAGTATTTTGAGGAGGAAATGTAGTCTTCTCACACAGACATACATCTAGTCCAGAATTTCTTAACTTCAGCAATTATAAGAGATCTACAATTCCCCAGCCAGTATGATCTAGCCTTTTCATTCTAGTTTTGTGTTACTAACTAACCAGAAAAAGTTAGGAAATTCATATTATAATAATCAAAGGAGGACAAGAAGTGAGTTTTCATGTAGATTTAAAGTTGGCCTGATTTGACCTTGTCTGGGCACATGTAGCTATAATATAGTAGTAGTTAATGTATTGACTCATTATGAGTAAAGCGTTACTTAATAGGTTGTTTATATCAATGTGCGTTTCATGTGCAACATGATTTGTTAAGCTAAGACTCTTGGGCTGATATGACATTCAAGCCAGGTCTTTCAGTTCTCCCTATTATACTGTATTTCCATTGCTTTCTGAAAACTGCCAGGAATGGAGATGCTTAGAGTGCTTATAGTTTTGATTTTAGTTATTGTTAGCAATCTCCTAGATAGTAACATACCGTATGCCTTAAATATATATTTTTAAAGGGGCTTTTCTGAAAATATTACTATTGCTTGATTAGCTTCAACTTTCCTGTCTAAATTAGGGATGGATTTAATGTGAGGATTCCACTACCAAGCACCTTGTTTGATGCCTTGCCTCGTGAAATCCAGAGTGGCATGTTGCTGAGAGTTCAACCAGTACTCTTCAACGTGGGAATCAACGAACAGCAAACTTTAGCAGAAAAGTACATATGCCTACACATTCTCTTTTTTAATATTTCATGCTTAACAGACAACAGATGACATGGTTTTCCTCCTTCTAGATATATACTGAATGAACTTCCAAGTGGTTATTTAAAGGATAGCTCAGGAAGAAGTTGAATGACATGAAAACCTTTTTGAAATCAGTAGTTATATGTCTAATACATAGATTTCTACTATTTATAGTCTAGTGCTATTATATTTAAAATGAGTTGCAGGCATTTGCAACATTATCCAGTAGATCATGCAGTATCCATATTCAAAAGGCATCATGTGATTTGGAGCATGCATGGAGACAGTGGAGGGCAGGGAGACCTAAATAAATAAATAAGATATCTTTTTGCCAAGATTGTTTCTCAGCTCTAAAGGGCAACCATGCAATCCCAGGAAAATCACAGCTGCTTTAAAGTGTTCCCATATATATGCCAGACTCTTTTTGTCCTTTGAATCAGAAACCCCGAAGGGTTAATATCTGGTGCTTGCCACTTCAAAGAAACTATAGCAAAACCTAAGATAGAAGAATTCATTGTATTGCTTTGATGGCTTTGATAATATGTCAAGGTTTCTATTTGGATCTCCTTGTGTTAAGGAAACACCTTATTTCAAAGAAACAGTAAACAAGCTATTAAATGGAGCATCTGTTCCTTTATATTATTAGTAGAAATCAATCAGACATTTTTTCTTGATAAGCCGGCAGAGTCTATGGCATTTGAAATTGATTAATCTATAGTACGTAAGTATTTTTACTACTTAATTTTAGGGCAAAGTTCTTATGAAACTATAGAATAACTAAACAGAATAATTAAAAATTAGTATCACAATAATTTCTAAAACCTATTTAAAAGCACTTGTATAAATGAGTTACCTTGTCTGTCCTATGTTTAAGGCAAGTGTTAAAATATTAATAACTGAAATGAAAAGAACAATTTGAAAGTTTGCAGATGTTCTCCCATTTTTGTTTGGAAGCTCTATTAATATGGCCCTTTAAATTTTTAAAGGTTTGGTGATACCTCCTTGCAGGAAATTATTAACATGGAAAGCTTAGTACGGTTGAATTCCTACTTTGAGCAGTTCAAAGAAGTTTTGCCTGAAGACTGTAAGTGTGAATTACAGATATTTGTATGCAACACAATTTATATCAAGAAAATGTCTGCTTTTATATGCTAACAAAACAATTAAAAATCAGTTAGGTTTGGTAAACTGGAACAGTATCAACCTCCTGTGGACAGTCCCTAAACCCTGATGCTGAAGTGTTTGTGTGGCCATAGACACATGTAGATACCAAGAGTAACCAAAATACAATTCCAGTTGAAATTGATTGATTGATATGCATTATCAACTCATTGCTTAGTGACCATATAAATATTTTCCATGACAATCTATCCGACGGGTATCAAACTTGTGGCATCACGTTGCCATCCCGTGACAGTTTTTCCCCTTTGCAGACCTGAGGTGAGCGTGGGCTGCGCATCTGGCCGTGGGCCGCCAGTTTGACACCCCTGATAGATTCTATCCCTAACCTGGTCTTTCATTTGTCCAGTGCTGCACTTATTGCCACAGTAATAGTGTCCACCTAACTTGCTGATGGTCGTCCTTGCCTCTTTCCTTCACCTTTCCCAGCATTAGAACTTTCTTCAGAAAGCTCCAATGCTTCTCATAATGTCCAGTGTAGGATAATTTGAGCCCAGTCAAGTATGTCTTGAGTGAGAACTCAGGGTTGATTTGTTCAATGATCTGTTAGTTTGTTTTCTTGGCTACCCATGATATTCTTAGGAGTCTTCACCAACACCAGATTTTAAAAGCATTCAGTCTTCGTATTCTACTTCTTCATAGTTCAACTTTCACTTTTATGGAGAATACCATAGCTTGCATGATTCTTATTTTTGTAGGTCACTTCGACAGTCATGGCATTTGAATATCTTTTTCAAGACCTACTTACTGAAATGAAGAAGTATAACTCTAGTTTTATCTGCTGCTTTTTTTTGTTTTAAGTAGCTGGCAGTCTCCTTCCTGCAATGATGATGCCAGCACATTTATGAGACTAAATCAGGGGTGGGATCTGACTGGCATAACAATCGGTTTGGGGAGCGCACGCATGCGCGTCAAACGCATGCTGCATGCACGTGCACGCTACCGGCTCCGGCAAGCATTTACCTTCTTCAGCTGACGAGCGGCACTCGGCTGTGCCGTGCAAAACAGCTGATGAGGAAAACGCAGCCACTAAAGGACAGCCTAGAGCCTGGGCAGGCGGGAGGGCCAAACAGTAGACTAAAACCTCATCCCAGCGAACCGGTTCGGTGTCAGCTCCTCTTCGGAGCTACTGGACTGAACAGGTAGGATCCAACCCCTGGACTAAATCAATTCTATGCTCAGTTGTGGATAAGAAAAGGGACATTTATATTAATTTTAGTAATATTGTTCAAGGAACTTACAATTTAGAATACAAAACCTCCCCTTTCACTATTGCTGCTAACCTTTTACCAAACCTCTTTTTCCTATCTTCTCCCTCTAATGGGAAGTTCAACCATTACAAAAAAAGTGCCCATGACCCTCCTAGGTGATCCCCAAAAACCTGAAGGAATCTAGTAGTACTTTTTCCAACTAACACATTTTATTAAAAAGTATCAATTTTCATGGAGCTCAACTGTATCAGATGCAACAACACATCAGTTGATGTGACGTGCAGGAATAGCTTCTGAATTCCTATTATGTATAGTCCCAGTTCCCGAAGTACAGAATATTGTGCGATCCGTAGGTTTTATGTACTCTAGTTCAGATTTCCTAAATTCTACTGAATTTCTATGATTTTGCTAAAAAACATAACTTTGTCCCATTCAGTCATCTGGCAAAGAAAGACTCCTGGTCATTTTTTTTTTTTTGCCAAAAGTATACTTTACTGAAGCTTACAGAAATAGCATAAACTAAATCTGAGGTTTTCCCATGCAAACAATACAAAGTAAATTTTCCTCTTCTCCCATCAGGCATCTCCCAGTAATCTATAAATGTCTAAATTACGTGCTTGTATATTGTTAAGGAAACAGGTTCTCGGTTCCCAGTTCTGCATACCGATAGTTGACCTGGGTTGGCAGAAGCTTCTCACTCTGCTAAACAAATAATTCCCTCAACCCTGTCCAACTATTTACAAAGTCTGCACTACTATTACTGTTAATCTTGTCATCACTCCTTATCACCCATCCCCTCCCACTTGTGACTGTATGACTTTGTCACTGGTATACTTATGATTTATATTGACTGTTTCCTAGTATGATTGATTGCTTATTGTACCCTATGACTATCATTAAGTGTTGTACCTTATGATTCTCGACTCCTGACGAATGTATCTTTTCTTTTATGTATACTGAGAGTATTTACACCAAGACAAATTCCTTGTGTGTCCAATCACACTTGGCCAATAAAGTATTCTATTATATTCTCTATTCATCCCCCACTTCTTCCTCCTTACATTCAAATATCACCCCCCTCCTCCAATTGCTAATGTCAAGCTCATGAAGCTTGGATAGGAGAAATGCAGCCATGACAATAACTGTCTGTTTCTAAACATAACTTATCCATTCCCAGATAAAAAAAATGCTATTGGGCATTTGTTAAGTGGTGTTTATTTTTTCTCCAGGTCTACCTCGATCTCGGAGTCAAACGTGCCTGCCTGAACTGTTGAGGTTCCTTGGTCAGAATGTACATGCAAGAAAAAATAAGAATGTTGATATTCTTTGGCAAGCTGCTGAGGTAAGATTTAAGAAAGTTAACTTAGTATGTTGTTACTTATCTCCCATGACAACGTCATGTCTACAGAATAAGCAGCTGTACAGAAAGCTGTAGATCCCTGCATGTTCTCTGTTGTTGTGCCATGTTGTTTCCTTGACCAAAAAGACACGGAGCATTATAGTAACCATTGTTATTCTTACAGTTTTCTGACTTTAAAATAGGCAGAAAAATGAATAAATGTTGAAATTTGGTTCTATTGTGGCGTGATTTCCCTTAGATTTAGCAAAATTTTAGGTTCTGGGCACTGCTGCATAAATTCAGCTGGGCATCAGAAAATAGAAACAAATTAAAAATGGCTACAATCTTGTAAGATTTTGACCATTTTTAGTCTTTCTAACTCATCAGAATCCTGCAGATTATTTAAACGGCTTCAGGATTATATATGATTTATCTGAAAAGGAAATAGAACAGGACTAAATTTGATATGAGGAAGAAGCCAGTATGGAGTAGATAAGGTTGGGGCCTGCTGACAAGATTTCCCCAGTCTGTCCCAATGGGAAACCTAGATGGGCAAAGCCTTGGAATGCTGGGGATGGCTTCAGTTTAAGGCCCCTCCCTCCTGTCATATGACTCATAGTGGAATATATGCAGCCTGCTTTGTACTCTGCATTGCGTACATATACACAAACCACAACACGATACAGAAGAAATATAGGAAAATATAGAAACATGTTTAGACATTTATGTATGTAGGAAATGCATATGCACAACCTTTGGGGAAAGGGGCAGATTCATATATACACATGCAGATGCAACCCATTATTTTATTATACAAAGATGAAGGCAAAAGTTGCAGTGGTCACTGTTCATAAAGGAGGTGGGGAGAATTCCAGAAGCCATGCTTTTTCTACCTTGTTAATTTTGATGTTAAAAGTACATTTATTTGATTATTGTAATATTTGATGATTTAATATCCAACTTTTATTGTTTTTGCAAATAAGTCAAGATGGCGAACATATCCAACACACCTTCCTCCTTTATTTTTCCCACTACAACAACCCTGTGAGGTGGGTTAGGCTGAGAGTAACTGACCCAAAGTCATCCAGCTGGCTTTCATGGCTATGGCGGGACTAGAACTCACAGTCTCCTGCTTTAAACACTAAACCAAACTGGCTTTCCATATATTCTACATATATCATAATTGTGTAGTTTCTGTAGATATCTCCAGAAATGTTAGAAGTATCTCATTGGGAAGCCCCTAATTTAAAAAGAAAATGCTGTTAAACTATTGACACTGTTCCCAACTTGGCTGCCCAAGAAGGAGCCTGCCCATTTTCTACTGAGGGTGCTGTTACCAGTTGCCTTGTTCTGATAGAAATGGCAATGATGGGCACTGAGGATTGCAATGCTATAGCTTGACCAGTGAGGTTCACAAGAGAGTTAAACATTTACAAGAAGTTGGGCATGACATTGATGTATATAGAAAAAGGGATGGAGCATGCATCATGAAGTTATACTCACCATTCTGTAGATTTTGACACTTGGAAGCCCATATTCCATGGCTGAAGTAGGCAATCTGGGCTCTACAGAGGGGATTTTTTTTTTTTGTTCAATGGCCCCTGTAAATATGACATGTATTGAAAATTGCCCTTCAATATCTGTAGAGCATATCTGTGTCTAACTAAACTAATGACAATAGGTAGAGGAGAAGGAGGAGGAAAAGAAGGAGGAAAAAGAAGAAGGAAAAGAAGAAGACATTGAAGTGATGGATAGCTTCTTCTTTTTAGGATCATCAATGAACAGTAAAGGAACAAGAGGATACGAAATGTGCCACAGACTAGGATTTGGTGGAACAGTATTGAAAGGCTTAAAATATATTCAAATGCCATGATACGTCTATACCTGCAAAGATCAGAGTCATGCAAACCATGGTATTCCCCGTGTCACTCTGTGAAAGCAAAAGTTAAGATTTAAACAAGCAACATAGGTAGAGTATTGACACCCTTAACCTTTGATTTTGGAGAAGATTCCTGAGAATACGGTGGACAGCCAAGAACACAGATCAATGGGTTACCGAACAAATCATTTCAGAGTTCTCCTACTTCAAGCACATTCTGTGAAGACCCTCTTTCTGGAAGAGACTAATGCTGGGAAAAATTCAAGCCAAGAGAAGAACAGGGCAACCACCAGCAAGGCATGATACGGGTCCCAGATGTGTCAGCTGGCAGGGACTAGGAGGCGTGCCTTTTCTGCTATAACTCCTGACATCTGGAAAGTTCTCTCTCCAGAAATAGACTGTATGAATGTGTGTATGTATGAATGAATACAGGTGGATGAACTCAGTTATAGTAATGATGAGTACACTATTGGGAGATTTGAAATAATAGGCTAGGGATAATTCATCATAGAAAAGATTGGTTGTTAGGAGTCAAAAACAACTTGATAGCACATAATCATACCTAAAATAATTCAAGACTGACTATAAATTGTACATTTCTTGAATTCTAATCTCACCCCAGTGTTAGCAATGAGATCCTCCTAGTAATTCTGGAGTAATACTATATATATTGTCCTACGATACAGTGGAACTAATATCAAGCATTTTTCCCCAGATTTGCCGCAGACTAAATGGTGTTCGGTTTACAAGCTGTAAAAGTGCCAAGGATCGGACTGCCATGTCGGTGACTCTGGAGCAATGTCTCATACTGCAACATGAACATGGAATGGCTCCACAGGTTTTCACTCAGGCCCTGGAGTGTATGAGGAGGTAAGAAGATCTTGTTTGCTTGCGCTTACTTGTTTCTAACCCCAGAGCCCTGTAAACTGCAGATGAGTATTCAAAACTATACGATTCAGCTTTTCTTTACACATATACCTGTCATTGTTGAGTCCTCTGAGATCCAGACTTTGAAATCATTTAAACCACTTCCTTGGAATTGAACTATAAAGAAAGAAATTGCTAAGCATGTAGATCTTTCTGCTTTACTGCTATGAAAGCTTCATAACTAACATTGTCAAGGCTGCTGCTTTCCTTAGAAGTGAAAATGCAGAATTATCAACTGAATTTAAGGAGAAACATCTGCAGATTGCATTGGTTTCCTATGCTTACTCCTCAGACAATAGTTTGCCCCTTCAGCGAATTGCCATTATGAATGTTTCATGATACAGCAAACAATTCCATCACAACCTTCTGGCATACTTGGCCATATCAATTAATCTTTGTCTGCTTTCTGAAATCGCTGACATGTTCACAGATTTCAGTTTCTGTTTTAAATAAAAATCTAATACATTATTTCAAGCACTGCTGAAAAGTTCCAGTTTTACATATGAAGCAAGAAAGGATAAGAAATCCAGATTTAGTGTTTAATCATAGTTTAACTTGACTACAGAGTTCTGCTTTCAACATTCACTTTTGCTGAATGTAAATGTTCTGTGTGTCTTCTCACAAGCTCTCACAAATGTTCAATCCTCTTATCCTTTCTATATGTTTTTGCTATTTGACCCTTTCTAAACCTTCAATGGTTTATTATTTTTAAAACTTACTTACAATGCCATCTTACTTTAGCAAATGTTTTCTAATTCCATAAATCCTATCTAGCAACTTCATAATTTCATAAAGTGCAATTGCAATTGTTTCACATTGAGCCAGCAGTTTAAGAATGTAGTATATCTAATATAAGAGAAAGTATTTTCAGATTCATTCTTATCATTTCATTAATTGTTCCTCTGATAACATTCATATTTTAACATAGAGATCTAATATAGTTCACATCAAGGACCAGTTGAATTCAACAAACATTATTAGCTCATATGTTCTGGAGAAAAAGTTATCATGTTGTTGTGCTTTGTGCATTTAGGAAATGAAACTTAATAGAATTGATGTGGATGATGCTACACAGTAGACCTAACAGTAGGAAATCTATTTTTATTTTCTTGTTACAAAATAATTGCTAGATTTTGGCATTATTTTACAACAAAGCAATTTTTTCTGGCAATACAGATAATACAAAAATTAAAAATTGTTGATCTGAGTTTGAAAAAAGCTGTTTAGCAGTCAATATTTCTTCTGTTTCTTCTGTTTCAATTTAACATCTTTTAATAAAATATTATTTAAATAGATGCTAATTTTCTAAAACATTCATTGAAAGCCTCAAAATAAATGCTTCATGTAGATATTCCCCTGCCTTTTGGTACACATGATACCATATCTTTATTTTTGACAATGTGAATAAATAACAATGCGAATAAAGTCAGAATCAGGGACCAAAAAAGAAGATAGATTTACTTTCTTAAACTTTTAAGCTCTCTACTCATTCTTAAAATATATTTTAGGCTGGGAAATAGGACATCTGTCTGATTTATTATTATTCTTAAGCCACTAAACTGCCATGCATTTTAAGAAACAACTTTTATCTAGCTATTTCAGGAGGAAGATTTTCACTACATTAATAGTTGAATTAATTCAATATACCCGGCATTGAAGCATTCTTGAAAGGGTCAAATATCACAATGGTTATTCATGTTCAGTTTGCTTTTCAGTGTTCCCTTTGCCAGCATGTGGAAAGCATGGCACAGCCGCATGGAACATCGCTTAGCCAAATGAGAAAAATGAACATGGAAAACCATTCTAGTTTGACATACATGTATTTATTTTCAGTAGACTACAGTATTCTTTCTTATTTTCTCTTTTTTATCCTCTCTCTCTCTCCTTTATTCTGTAATTGCGCCTTTTATTATTATTTTGAAAAATTGGCATATTTCCTTATTCTTTACCCTCACACATTCTACTTTCTGTTGTGATTTTTTCAAAGTTTATTTTCTTTCCTCTTCCTGACCCAATTTTTTTCTCTTTTGTTTTGCCATCTTGATTCTCTTCTTATCTTTTGATACATATATTGCATGTCTGTGGGGTTTTTTTTTTTCTGTTTCTTTTCTCTTCTCCCCAAACCTCTTCCTTTTCACAGTATTGGAACACGGGAGGTAGTCATCCAGAAGAACTTGTGTGGCCTGGTGCCCTTCCGGGATTTCAGGCTAGATCCCAGTCTTTTTTACTCTATTCCTTTATTAGCTCTAAGCCCCAATTTACTGATTGTGTGGCTGTTTCTGAGCATTGCATACTTGGTGGCTAAATTACGTTGCAAATGAAGTAAAACAAACCAAGCAAAAATCCAGTAAAGTGCCAGAATATATATTGCCACCTGGTACCGATTTGTCAAAAAACGTCTCATAGCATTGTTGCCAAGAATAATGATTAGTATGCCTTACAATTTTGTTTCTATTGTACTAAACTTGTAAAATACACATCTGATCCTTTTATGAAAAGGAATTGTATTGAGTGCTTACACTGTCATTGAGCTTCCAGTGCTTGTAATGTAAGTTCAACATCTGCCTGTTACCTCAGTGGTTTAATCAACCTGAAGATTAGTTTCTGTATCATCTATTTTAGACATTCAAATCCACCTCCCCTCCATTTCTTTATAACTACATACAGCTTTGTTTCACATGTTTCTTGTTATCCAGAGAAAGAAATTATGTCTAAAAAGATTTCTAATGTTTTTGTATATCCTAAAAAAGTGTCAGTCTTGCTTTTCATATTTAAGTGGTATGGAGAAAAAAGGGGAGCTTTGTAACATATTCATCTACACATTTGTTTAAGGCATCATTCTACTTTGATTTACAAGCATCAGTTCTACAGTGTTACAATCATCAATACTTAAAACTGTGGAGTTAGTTTTCTCAAAAAACTGTTGAAACACATTATGCCCTTTAAAAATGAACTTGAAAGCAGTATGCTGCACATAATATAGAGTCAGTATATTTATACATTTACTTTCTTACTGCATAAAAAAAGAAAGAATATATGGAAAGAGTAAGCTTAACAATCATCTAATTCCATTCAAATCATTGGAAAATTATTTTTATAATCTGTGTGATACAATGCTATCACATGTTAATTAATATTTACATTAAATATTGCCATAAAATGCACTAATAGCTCTTTTGGGTTAATGCTAAACTTTAAATCTTACAGTATGTGAAAGATGCAAATGTATTTTAATGATATCCTGATTCCTAATCATTCAATTTGTAATAGAATTATGTTAATTTCTATCATTATAATATTTATTCACCCAATACAATGATGTATATATTCCCATCCAGATAGCATTTATAAGTTACATCAGTATATGTTTTAGAAGCATTTAAACACACACACACACACACACACACACACACACACACACACACAGGTAACTACTGGGTATTAAAAAAGTAGCTCCAAGGCTTATAAATAAAAATCTTTAATATTTGGTTGTGCTACATCCTGTTTATCTGAACTGTTTATCTGAACTGTTAGATCACATCCAAATTGTATTGCACAGATAAGATGTAGATGTGTTCTTGATTGGATTGATTTGAATCTTGACAGAGAAGCACAGTAGCTGCTTTCCTGATAGGTATATGATTCTGTTACAGTGAAAGGTATAGGGCTCAATTATACTGCATGATTATTTCACTCGCCAGCAGCAGGGTAGGTAATGAAAGAGACACTTCCTGTAGATGTCACACAACAATGTTCAATTTGTAAATTGAACCACAATTTATTTTATTTTTTTAATTAAACCACAGTAGTTACATCTTATTCACTAACAAGTTATATGACAAATTTATTAGCAATATATTGATCATTTAATGCCAAAACTAAGCATGCTCTATGGCATATTCACCTCATAATCTTTTCTATACCACCATTTCCTTTGCTTATCCAACAAGATCACTTACTCCAAATGTAGGCTTTGACCATTGCATGCATCTGTGTGGCCTTGCAAATAAAAATAAGTAGCAATCACCTGTTTTCCCAAGAGAATAGAGTTCAGTACATAAAGCAATCTTGTGTTTGAGGAAGTAATGCTGGGTTGACAAATAGCCAGCTCACCGAGAAAAACATCCAAGTCAGAATTTTCTATGTAGGGAATGTAGTTCTTACTGAGGTACACATATTATTTCAATAAATGGGGGAATACATTTGGGGGGCTGGTTTGAAAAACTGAGCTGTCCTGCCTTATATTGTGGAATTAAATATACTAGAGTGCTTTAGAGTTAAAATTGTATGTGACTGTGTGTATAGAGGTATGTATGTATGTATGTATACACGCAAACACATCACAAGTTATTAAATCAAGAAATGCACGAATCTTTATTTCATGCATTTCCTCTCATAAATCTGGAGAGTTTTGTTTAAAATATGCCCAGTGGTAGCAATGATGCTGAAACCAAATATATAAATAGTTGTTACTACATACAATAACTACACCAAATAATTGACTATTTAACCCATACATTTAAAATAAAATGTAGTCAGTCAGACCTAATAATGTAAGAATATAAGTGTAATCCATAAAAGATAATGCAAATTAAAGTCTTTTATTTATATTTGTATAATAAATATCAGCAAAACATACCCAGGAAATCAATACAATATTTTAAAATCTTATTTGACTAGATTTTCATTGTACTGATAATTGGACTACTAAATTATTATAAATTGACATTTCAGTGCATCTTGGAAACAAAACTGTTGTAGTTAATACTCAGAGCATGTTCAATGTTGCTGTCCTTAGTTGTCAACTTACAATAAATAATATCTCAGTCATGTTCGTATACTTTTGTCTTCTGCTTCTGTAGCTTTCATTTTCCTTTGTCATCTCCTGTTTAGAGAAACCAAAGAAGGAAACTTGGAAAGTATATTTTGAGAACTCAAATTACTTATGTAATTATGTATATGTATGTATATCTCATAATAATGGCCTTTGCAATCTTGCTGAAGGAAAGTGTGCAATAGATTTCAGAGCCAAATTGAAAATGTTGTGATAAAACTGCTGTGCTAGCATTTTTTTTCCTGTGGCAAAATCTTCCAGAAGTGTTGTTATACTGCCAATGTTCCCTTTGATTCAGAAGATGAGCTGGCAGATTTGCCAACTCTATATCCCTTTTTCCTAAAAAAAAAAAAAAAAAAAAAATCCATTCCTGCTTGCTTAGATTTGCAAGTGTGTTCAAGAGTCCATTTGGCACATTTTTTTTTATGTACACCATCAATGACCTATTACTTAATTATGAATTGAAATATTTTACTGAAATGAAATCACTAACTCCATTCATTTTAATTAAAATACTGGTAATTTTGTTTTTGTTTTACTGCTGTCATTTTTTTTCTTTTCTGTGCTTGTCTTTTTCCCCAGTGAGGGCTGTCGAAGAGAAAATACAATGAAGAATGTTGGATGTCGCAAATATGCATTTAATTCCTTGCAGCTGAAGGCTTTCCCCAAGTATTACAGGCCTCCTGAAGGAACTTATGGAAAAGTTGACTCATAGGATTATGGTGTCTTGTAATTTAGTTGTTCCGTTAAAATATGTGAATACACTCAACTTTAGTATATGAACTTTGATGACAATGTCATAAAAAATGCTTTTGTATGTTTCACTAGGAAATACTGAGCATGTAATTTTGTTAAATTGAATTCCATAGAAAGAAAACAATTACGTGCTGAATAATTATAACATGAAACTAATGTAATGATTGCCCTGTGTAAGATGCCTGCATATATTAGTTAATTAATCTCTTGCCTAAATAAGAAAGATAATTCCTAGACTGTGGAGGATTTTGTGAATTAGGCAGCTGTTTCCCTCATTTTTATACTGATTTTATTTAAAACTTTCATAATACTTTTTAAAACCTCAGTGCTGTAAATAGTAAATAAATTGGAAATGAGGAGTTTTGACAAGTACAACAGGTATTACAAGTAGAAGAAAAGGCAGTTTTAAAAACAGAGCAGTGCATTAAGATATAAAGTTGGGGATTTAAATTTATTAGAACACTATTATATAAAAAAGTTATATAGGAGCCAGGAACTGACACATAACCCTATTTGACTTGATTTAGAAAGTGGATTGAAAGGTGATAATTTCAGGTAAGGAAAAAACCTATTACATTCCAACACCTAAAACCCTTTTAAAATACAAGGAAATGATACTTGCACATAAGAAAATATTGTCTGCATCTAGTAAAGCATTACTTAGCCCTAAACAATGAATCCGAACAGAAGGTATGGTATCCATATCTATCTACAAAACAGAAGTGGATTTTTACCTGCAGAAGGACTTCATTGGGCTGAATCATCTGTGTCTTCCACATCATAATAATGTTAATCACTGTCAGTTTATCCTATTTTGTTTCCTTGTGAGTTAGCTGATTCCACAGTGATATGTAGTGCAAACCAGTCTATACAAAAGTTCCTTCTTGTAATGACAAGAATGTTTTTGCATAGAAAAACTGTCCTATGCACTTAAGACTTCTGCTTGCTTGTTAGATCCTATCCAGAATGTAGGTGCACTTTAGTTTACAGAAATCAGTGTTCCTCATTTTCCTGTTGAAACTCCTACTTTGAATATATCGTTTTATATAAAATATTTCCGGTACCCATTACTAATTTTTGAAACTCAGTAGTCTACAATTTGTTCCAGAACATTAGAATTTGAATTTCAGGTTAATGAATTGACAGAAAAGGGGAATATTATTATTCCCCTTCTCCCCACATTTCCCAAATTTCCATGAACACCCTCCTGGCATTGCTAAACTATAACTTAATCCTTTGTTCATTATTATTCCTGTAACAAATTTTAAAAGCAAGATGAACTACCACTTGAAAAATATAGTGGTACCAGTACATATTCATACTTACAGAAGAGTAGAATATTCATCAAATGACTATTAATATATAACAATTTTGATTAATAAGTCACTGTATATGTTTTTTATGGGTGTAAATGTTTATCCTCTGAAATGCTGCAGTTCAGAAGTAGCGTTTGGATGGATTTTGGAAGCTGTAGGCAGGTTGTGAAATCCTTCCAACTTTTCATTCTAACAATTTAACCCCAGCATGTTTAAATTCCACTGATATTTGAGGAATTTACTTAAGTTAGCATTATTGGCCATTTAATGAAAAGGGGGAAATGGTGCAATTTTCAAGAAAGAATCTGGTATGCATTTGCCATTCAAATATTTTACTTTATTCTGCCTTTTTTTGCACTTTATATTTATTGAAGGTATGTTCTTTTCAGACCCAATACATTTCTTTTAATGCTGCCTTTTAGTAGCTTAATGGTTTAATTCTTATATGTACTAAACAATCCGGATCCCTCAGGATTCTGTAAATTAATTGATCATGCATTGTTTCTCAAACTTGGTAACTTGGAGATGTGCAGACTTCAATTCCTGGGGCTGGGTGAATTCTGGGAGTTGAAATTCACACATCTTCAAGTTACTAAATTTGGGGAGCACTGCTTTCAAGTCACCTAACAGGCAAAGAAATAGCCATATCTGTTGCTGATGGAATTCCTGGTAGTAGCTAAGAGTTAACAGGGCAAGACAGTGAAGTTCAACAAGAGTTGAGATTTGCAAGTAAGCTTCCCTTTATCTAGAAAGTTAGCTACAAAACATTTTAAAACAAAATACAAATCAGGCTGCCATGAAAAGTTGTTCCTTCCAAACTGTACTTGGGCAGGACCTTGCATAGAGAATATATTCCCTTCTTGAGATTTCCTGGCACTGAACAACGAGGAACAATTTCCAGTCTGCAGCTAGCTAGCTAAAGGTATCTCTCTGCAGCTGTGAATATCTTTGGTCTTCCATCCTCTTCTTCCCGAGGCAGCAGCTGCATAAGGGGCAGGGATGGGGAGGCCTGATGCCATCTCACTACTCTTCCTACTTCTCCCTCCTCTTCTTCTTCCCAGGATGATGCTTCAGCCAGGGGCAGGATTCTGCTGAATTATATTTATTGCTCTTTCTTTTCACTGCTTTTAGCGTTTGTATAATATATTAAATGGCAGAATTCTGTAAAATTGGTGGTGGTTAAATTTATATTTTCAGGAAAACTTCAAATGTGACATTTTGATATATGCTAGTTTGTGTAATTTTTTTTCTCTGTTTACCCTCTTGCCACCCTTCTGTGTGTACAATGTATTTATATTTTAAATACTTAATATAATTCACCTTTTAAACACTGCCTTGGCAAGAAAGAATAATGGATCTGAAACAATTGTTTTACTTTAAATTTTCTGTCATTAAAACTTGCCAGCAAAAGTAGTTAAGATTAATTGCAGTGATTGCTGCCAGCACAATGGATTATTCTCCTTCATTAGTCATCTCCTGGAAGCAATTAGGGTGCCCCCCCCCCCAATTTTGTAATATGAGAAGGAAATTGTGTTCTGCTGTTATTTCGATTAGTGTGAACATCTTTCCATTAGCTCATATGCATTAGGAATCTATAGGTTTTTCAGACCTGTCAGTGCTGCAAAATGTATGCCATGGAAGATATTTTGCTACTGCCATTCTAAGTTAGGTTAGCTCTTTATTTTACATTCTGATTTACAGTACTATACTGACACAGCTGTGAAAACCTAATATTCTACTGTGTTTTAAAGCAATTCCCAAATTCTCTGAGTAATTATTTCTCTTCTACCCTTTCTAAGAACAGGACTTCAGTGTACAATGCTGCATCACAAGTGACAAATGCAAAATTCTGGTTTCATTTCTTTTGCATAGATTTCCCTAAAGGAGAATAAATATAGCTGAATAAAAACATGGGAACCGAAGAAAGCATATATCCATGTAGAAAACATCAAATGATGTTTCCAAAATATTTGTTTTGTTGCCATAGAAAATCCATTATTAGGGGTTATTATTGTATGAATCTCATTCTAACCTTTTTGAGTACAATTCTTGGATGAAACATTAAAAGGATATAGTTACTGCCAAGCTTATTCTGTACATGTTCTGTAAAAGCAGCCACAGCACTGCTGCCTTTGAATTTTTCATTTATATACAATATGTATAGCTGCTGTAAAATAGAACATAATTTTGTTCCAGCACAGTTGTATTTCCTAAAACTTTTTGCATTTATTTTATTTATTTGTTTGGAGCAGTATTGGCATATCATAAACACATGGTTACTGTTTTGTATAGTCTTAATTCACCCAGTCCATGTATGCTGTAAATGTGCTAGTCTTTAGGGATTAAAAAAAAAAATAAAGAACTGACAAGTATGCTGAGATGACTATTTTTTTAAAAAAAACAATATGGTCAATAAGCTCTATATTTGTTTGTACTTTCTAAAGTTTCATATAATATATTCTCGTGATAGTAGCTCTGATCTATTTTAGGAAAAAAAATCAAATTTACTCTGCCATAAACATTTATAGACTAACTGCTGTTTAGTCTCTGAAAGACTATGCCAGAATATCTTTCTTTAGGTCTTGGAAGATGTTTCTTTATTTCTTTCTAAAAGTGTATTTATGCTTTTAATATTTTATCTTCTAAAAAACTGATGACCAAATATAGTGGTACTTTTATGCCAGCGGTTCCCAACCTGGGGTGCAAGACGATATTCCAGGGGGTGCGAGAAAAGTCCAGGTAAATAATAGGATATTGGCTATATGTTGGCATTTTTATTTATTATTTATTTCAGGGGGTGTGAGGTTCGAGTGAAATTTCTTTAGGGGTGCGGGGCGAAAAAAAGGTTGGGAACCACTGTTTTATGCGTTTATCAATAAGCAAGGAGAGCTGCAATTTTTTTTTTACAGTTTAGGTCAAATCACTGGGTACTTTACAATGAAAATAAATAATTGATGCATTTGTGTTATTTATACTAGTAGTTTCCAATAAAAAATTAATAAAAAAAACAAACACAAAATAATGAATCATGAATCCAATAGCAGAAAATGAGACCAACACAAAGCTGATGGCAATCTTCAAAAGATGTAAATATCACTAATATTTCAGTATTCAATTGCAGAAATAGAAATAGACTTCAAGTACAAGAATTAGACTCTGTAGAATCAAAGAACTGGTTGTAAGCTGGAAGAGCTGTATGATGTATGATCAAGCGTGGGTTAGGGCAAAAGCAGATTCTCATCCGTCCACAACCATGGAAACCCACTGAGTGACTTTGAGCTAATTATTCTTTCTTAACTGAATCTACTTCCTAAGGTGGTTGTGATGACAGGGGAAAAGAGTTCACTATGTTAAGGGTTACTTTAAAAAATGATGGAAGATGACAACTTTATAACAAGAGTTTTAAATATGGATTTGAAAACATCCTCACGCCTATCTTATTCTATCACATCTAACCCCATGAAAAGTGATAAGTTGTGTGTGAGGGACTTTCAGCATGTTTTACAATACCGTATATAGCATCATTTGGTGGCTTCCTATTCAAGGAGAGCCAAAGATAGGCAAAAATCATGTTTCTTCCTTTTACAATATTTTATTATTTACTTACGTACAGCTATCTGTATCAATAGTTTAGGGAACAAAGTGGCATCCTTTCCCGAGCTCATAATATACTCATCAACATAGGGACTATGAACAAAGAAATCATAACTTGATCACCGTACTTGTGTTAATTTGCTCACTTCTAAGGATAACATGATATATTCAATGAAATAATAGGGAGAAAAGGTTTTTTCCCCCTCTAGGATTATCCAGGTTTTAAAACTAAGCCTTCTGCAAAGATATCCACCTACTTTAATATTCTATACTATTTCAGACAAATGATTGCCCAGTCTCTTCTTAAAAACCTCCAGCGATGAAGTGTCCATGATTTCTGGAGGTAAGCTGTTCCACTGGTTAATTGTCCTCACTGTTCAGAAGTTTCTCCTTAATTCCAGGTTGCTTCTCTCCTTGATTAATTTCCATTCATTGTTTCTTGTCCTGCCGTTGGGGCTTTGGAGAATAATTTGACCCCTCTTCTTTGTGGCAGCCCCTCAAATATTGGAATACTGTCACCCAATTCTTCTTTTCTCTAGACTAGCCATTCCCAAACCCTGCAGCTATTCATATGTTTGAGTCTTCAAGCCTTTGATCATCTTAGTTGCTCTTCTCTGACCTTTTTCCAAAATCTCAACATCTTTTTTGTAGTGTGACCAAAATTGTTTACAGTATGCCAGGTATGGCCTTACTTACTAGGGCTTTATAAAGCGGTACTAATACTTCATGTGATCTTGATTCTCTGCCTCTGGTTATACAACCAAGGATTGTATTAGCTTTTTTTGGCTGCTACTATACCCTGCTGGCTCATAATCAAGTGATCATCCGTAGGACTCCAAGGTCCCTCTCACAGTTACTGTTTTTGAGCCAGGTCACACCTAATCTGTACTTATACATATGTTTTTTCCTGCCAAAATGTAAAACCTTGCTTTTCTCCACATTGTTGGATAGGGCCCATTGTTCAAGTTCGTCAAGATCTTTTTGGATCTTGAGCTTGTCTTCTGGGGTGTTGGCTATTCCTACCAGCTTAGTGTCATCTGCAAATTTTATGAGTTCCCCTTCCAGGGGTGGGATTCAACCGATGTTACTACCAGTTTGGTGACTACGTTTTGCTTGCGCATGTGTGCTTCGCGCACATGCATGTGTGTAAAAAACCTTAAACCGTGCTGCCTGGACAGCTGAAAAGCGCTGCGCACAGGTGCGCAGCATTTGAAAAGCCACTTTTTTCCTGCTTTTTCAACCTCAGCTGTGCCGCACAAAGCAGCTGAGGTTGAAAAAGCAGGAAATAAAGGACAGGTAAGAGCCTGGGCAGGCGGGTGGGCCTAACAACAGCAAACACAGAACCGGTTTGGTGTCTGTTGCTCTTCAGAGCTGCCGGTTCTATAGAGCCGGGCAGAACCGGTAGCATCCCACCTCTGTGCCCTTCCATTCCCTCATCAAAGTCATTTATGAAGATATTGAAGAGTGCTGGGCCTAAGATGGAACCTTGTGGTTACCCCACTGCTTACTTCCGTCCATGTGGATGTAGTATCATTAAGGACTATTCATTGAGTATGGTTTCTCAGCCAGCTACAAATCCATCTGGTGGTGATCTTGTCTATTCCACGTTTTACTAGCTTACCAAGAAGTAGGTTGTGGTCTGCTTTGTCAAATACCTTACTGAAATCTAAGTATACTATGTCCACGGCATTTCGCTGATCTACTAATTTAGTCACTTTATCAAAGAATGAAATGAGTAGTGGTTTTTATTGCATTTCAGTGAAATGTAAAGCTGGGAAATTCAATTCCATTATCTCCCAATGATTTTGGCTCTAAGAATACTGATTTAAATTGCTGTTTTTCCAGTTTCTTTTATTTAATACATTGTTAATATTCTAACAATACACTGGGTAAATATTAACAAGATCCAATCAATATATACACTGGGTAAATGTTAACAAGATCTGGTCAAGTGCCACAGCGTTGAAAAGTAGCAAGCATTCAGACTGAGAAAACTTGAGAGCTGAGCAGGTAAGGATAAAAATATTTTTCATAATGAAGGCAAATATACATGTCCCAGCATCATGCTGCAGGATCCAATCTGGGTCGGCTAACCAGGACCAGAGGTTTAGTCTTCCAAACTTTTATGAGGATGAGCTCCAGTATGAGAGTCCAAAAGCTCAGAATAATACAATTTATTCACTTACTGGGTTTATACAGTCACCCATCACACCACAGTGACTCAGCAGCTAACAAGATTTAAAATAAAAAATAATAATGTAAAATCAAACTACATGCAATGGCAATTGAGGTAAAGCCAATTTGCCACAAATGGATAACTGTGTGAACTCCAAATAGCAGTTCAACCCCCATGCATGTATTCAAAGTGTTATGAAACGCCAGCAGGGTTGAATCAAGGCCAATCTAATCCTGGGGAAGAGAAGTGTTCCAAAAAGAAACAGAATTTTACAACAGAAACCGAATGGTACATCAGAATTTGTAATTGCAACGATTTATGAAAAGAAATGGATAATGTTTATAATGACCAGCTACGAGTGAAACAAGCTCAACAGAACAAAGAAAGACCATGGTGGGTCATTGGAAAAAATTCTGTTGACCTAACTTTCACAGAATATGGATTGTAGCAAAAAGAAACTCTGTCACCCTTGTATATTATTAAATCACAAACTCCAACACTTTTATCATTAGCTGTTGGCTAAAGCTATTGAGACTTGAAGTTCAGCATGCATAGCCTCTACGATAATGCACCCTGAAATTGTTGGCCTTGTAAATTTGCTCTTTAGCCTTCTTGGATGTTGCTGGATTGGGGGGTTGGCTTGACATTCCCATTGCAGTGTGTGGAACTTGGGGACGGGAGAAACACACAACACAACTGCACAAATCCAATATTCTATTTCTGTTTCTTCACAATTTGATCATGCCTGATTGTTCAGGTTTTTTTTAAAAAATGCTTATAAGGACCCATTAGTATTTTATAGATGTGCTTTATTCTGCTCAGTTTATTAATATTCTCTTATTTTGGAGCAAGAAATGAAAAAAAAAAAAGAATTAGGTTGATAAAATGGCCCTGAAGGCATGTTATTTTATTTTTTTAAAAATCCACACCTGACATGAAAGTGTCAGCAAATCTCTATTTAGGATGAATCTTTACTGAATGACTTCAGAAATAGTGGGTTTTATTTATACTGTGGTGGGATCCAGGTTCTTTGATAAGAGTGCCTGGTCAAATGTAACTGCATGGAAGGCTGAAAAAGACCACCCCAAAAATTGGAAAGAAAAGCATTATTAAACTAGTGGTTATCATATGAAGGACCATTCTTCCTGATGTTTTCTTTAACTTGTAATTAACTTAGAAGTATTAGAACTGATGTGCATATAAAATATAGAGTCAAAACTAAGTTATTTACAAAATTTATGCATACAATTGCTTAACAAACAAAGACACGCTGACATATAATTTTACCATTTTATCCTTTCTGGGTGTTGATCACCTGTTGAGACTTGTACAGCATTCCTGGATTCTGAAACCAATGTTTCATTTTTTAGACACTAAGAAGGCCAGGTTAATCTATCACAGCCAGTATTGAAAGGAATCCAATAGCAACTTTTCTAATTAACAAACTGAAAGATGTACAGTTTTAAGAGCTGTAGCTTCATCAGATGCATGGAATAATTAAATTGGAGTAATTTTTAAAAAACTGAAGGAAGAAAGGGTGGTTACACGTGAAACAGATAATTACTTCATCAATTAGCAATTGTAGTGTTAAAAGCTCTTTTAAACCCTCCAACCCTTTTGCTGGACTCCACATCACAACTGTTCTGTGACAGACATGCTTAAGTCACAGAATTAAGTCAAGCATTCAGGAATCTGAACTACCCACTCAACCAATAGACAAAAGAGCCAGATCAATTCCTACAGAACCAACCCTTTCAACAAACTCAGATAGTATATATATATACAGGGAAGGGGGCAAGGTAGCTAACAGCCACATCACAGGCCCCCACAATTTCTCATACAAAATTAGAATAAGTCCCCTTCTAATACTCTTCTTCCAATGCTGTTATCCGCCAGCATTGTTCTCTTGCATTCTACTTTGGAGAAAGTCAATTTTTTTGCAAAATAATCAACAGACACAAGTTTGACATCAGTTCTCAGCACAATGCAAAGAACAGTAGATCCCTTTAATCTCCCAGGTCATTTCATTATAGATCTCATAGATGTCTTTTTATGACAAACCAGTACCAGCATCATAGACTGAGTCCACCAAACTGACATCTCAAAAGTTTTCAAGCTATCTTAGAAGATCCCAACAAAAAGGTTTTCGATACATAACAATTGCTAATTGACGAAGTTCTCCAGATCTGTCTCACATGTAACATGTAGCTGCATATCCATCCTTTTCAAGTTCTATATCGATTGATCCACTCCTGACATCTGATAAGTGAGCTACACCTCATGAAAGCTTCTGCCCCTTAATAATTTTTTTTTTTTAGTTTGAAACAGTGCTGCCAGACTGACGAGTTAAGAGAGAGGTGGCAATTTCTAACCAGAAGCATTTATAGCATAGTGTCATAGCACATGAACTATCTCTTTAGCCTCCCACAGGCAGGACAGGAGCTGCGGATGGTGTAACACTCAAACCTGAAGACCACTGGATGTATGGATGGACGGTCTGATTTTTATGCCGGTTTCAATAAAGCTCTTCCACTTTCAGCTGGATCTTTTACAAACCACACTAATGATAACAAGTCAGCCATAGGCGCTTCTTCTTGGAGAAGCGGTCCTTGGTCCGTTTTTTTCTCCACGAAACCAAGCCTGGCAAGAAGATGTTAAGGCAGGGGTCCCCAAATGAAGATGTTAAGGCAGGGATCCCCAATGAAGATGTTAAGGCAGGGGTCCCCAATGAAGATGTTAAGGCAGGGGTCCCCAAACTTGGCAACTTTAAGACTTGTGGACTTCAACTACCAGAATCTGGGAACTATGCTGCTGGACAATTCTGGGAGTTGAAGTCCACAAGTCTTAAAAGTTGCCAAGTTTGGAGACCTCTGTGTTAAGGCGTTTGATGCTGAGCAGATTATCCTTGAAGAAATTGCACCTTAGCGCTAACACTGCAGGCAGCAAAGCAAAACTTATTTTATTTATTTGTCAAGCGATTATAAGATAACAGGTATAAGTATAAACGTAGTTATGAATACATGAAATGGATCCATATAAGAAAAATAAAAAAGACGGTAGGCACGTTGGTGCTCTAACGCCGGGCGGCTTTTCATGGCTAAAAATATCTCCGTGCGTATCTGCGGGTCGAGGTTCCAAGGGCTCGTAGCTCAGCCACCGAGTCTCCTTGCTGGCATCCGGTTCTCCATTAAGGGCCTCCCTACCAGACTGTCTCGACGAGGGTCCAGGCGTGCAACGATCGGAACGTGGCTGCCATAACAACGACGCCAATTGAGGCCAAAAGAATCCCGTTGGGCAAGCTTGCGATTGGCCAATTCTGGGCGCTCGTTCTCTTTTCAGCCCCACCCGCAGGAAGGCTTAGAGTTGAGCTCGCTCTTTGCTGTCGCTTCGGCAGGTTCGCTCGTCCTCTTTTTTCCTCGTTTTTCATTAGCGCTTTTTTTTGAAACCCGCTTTTTAAACTAGTTTCGCCTGTCCCTAATAGCAGCTGTCAGTGATAAAGGCGAATGAACGTTTTAGCTTTGTTCTTTTTTAAATTCCTCGTCTTGGATTTTAGGCAAATAATGCTTAAATAGTCCAGCTGCTCCCAAGTTTAACTTGCTTAATGCCTTTCCCTCAGACTCCTCACTGCTTTGTATAATAGTTTTATTAACTGGCCTATGTTCAAACGATTTCCTGAGGCATTTAAAACTCTATTTTGCTTATCTTCTGATATCAAGAATAACAACTACACTGCAAATAGAAGTTCAGGAAGCACATCTATGACCAGTTCTTAATACAACTCACAACAGGTGCATTTCCCTAGTTAGCTGTCATAAAGTGCAAATATCTCCTATAAAATTTATAAGCAATGTCCTGGTGGATTGGATCCTGGCTATTTAATTCAATAGCCTGTTCTTATGATGACCAACCGCCCAAGGGAGCCCCTCTGGCCTCCCTGCAGACAGCTGCCCTGCTAAGGAAGGTGTAGGCAACTGAGTTAGGAGCTTCCTCTCCAGAATCTTCCTTGCTACGAAGGGAATCCAGGGAATATTGGAAAGATGCTGTTAGTAGAGATTGGTTTCTGCCCCATCAGACATAATAATTATATACCTGGAACTTAAAATACAGAAGACCAAAAAAATTGATAGGAGCAGTGCAGGAAATGATTGACTGAGAAAGCATCTTGGATTTTAGTACCTGCTTCATACCTGGACTTACTTCAAATGTTAGCTTATCAAATTTGATAAGGACATTGTTTTCTTTCAAATTATGTTTAATAAGGCAATATTTTCCATCTTGCATTATAGGCAAAAGGGAATCACTCCACCCATTTTCCTTCACTCTCTTTACTCATTTCAGCTATCTTGATGATGAATTCCTAGCCACAGAGGCATTGTTTTCATAAATCACATATGCAGTGACTAAAAAACGTGTGTGTGGGCAAGACAGAAAGATCCAGACTCACCAGGATCACAGTAGAAACTCCAGAGAAGTGGTTTAAAAAACCCATGTCTCGTAGAGGGAAATAAGGTAACTCCATGGCAAGAAAAGCCCCAAAATGCTAGAAAGGAGGCTAAAAGAATCACATAAAAATAGAGTTGAAAGGGACCCTGCAGATCTTCTAGTCTAGTCCAAATCCCTGCTCAGACAGAAAACCCTATATCATTTCAGGCAAATGGTTGTCCAATCTTAAAAACCTGCAGTGTTGGAGCACCCACAATTCTGGAGGCAAGTCGTTCCACTGTTAATAATTAGTTAATAATTAGTTCTAGGCTGGTTCTTTCCTTTAGTTTCCATCCATTCCTTCTTGACCTGCCTTTGGGTACTTTGGAGAATAGGTTGACCTTGTTTTCTTTGAGGCAGCCTGTCAAATATTGGTACACTGCTACCATGTTATCCCTAGACTTCTTTTCATTAAACTAGGCATATCTAATTCCTGCAACCATTCATATGTTTTAGCCTCCATCCCCCTAATTATCCTTCTTCTTCTCTGCATTCTTTCTAGAGCAAGGGCCTTCAAATTTGGCAAGTTTAAGACTTGTGGATTTCAACTCCTAGAATTCCTGAGCTAACATGACTGGAGGAGGAATTCTGGGAGTTGAAGTCCACAAGTCTTAAAGCTGTCAAGTTTGAAGAGCCATGTTCTAGAGTCTCAATAACTTTGTCATTGTGGTGACAAATGGATGCAGTATTCCAAGTGTGGTGTTTTACATTCAGTTTTGGTTGGCATGGTGTGAAAAAGATATTGAAACAGACTGGCGCATACCATCTCCTCAGAACTTTGGGGCATAAACTGGAACATTCCAGAAAAGCTCCTAAAACCATGTCAAAATAACCCTGAATCAGAAGGACTTCTGTCCTGTCTGTGATTACATCACTCCAGAATGTCCTCACTTGCAGAGTGAGAGATACCTTGTTCAATGGATCACTTCTTAAGCTGCTTTTTTTTTTTGCCTCAGGCTGCAATTACCTGATTACAGGTAGCCTTCGACTTATGATCACAATTGAACCTAACATTTCTGTTATTGAGACATTTGTTTAGTGAGTTTTGCCCCATTTTATGACCATTCTTGTCAGGG